AGAAGGCTCCTAATATGTTGTTTCAAAGGCAGATGAAAAATATTAAAAATCCTTAGTCACAATTTTTTTTTATAAACATTTAAAGTTCAAAAATTGACAAAATATGGAAAAATCACGAAAATTAGCAAATTATTTTGAGTTAAGAATTCGTAAAAATTTTTCTTTTTAAATCTAAGATTTGAAAATGAAACACAAGATTCCTTATAAGATTATCTACCTTTATCAATAAAAAAATCTCTACCGGACAGTCAAATTAAATTTTTATGAGCGTTTGAAATTCAAATTTTTACAACATTGGATTTTCACTCGATTTCTCATGTAGCGATTTCCTTATTTTGTTGTAATTCAAAAACGAATAACTGTAGATACATGAAAATTTCACTGAATGTTTATATTAGCATTTCCTATACACCATACAATTTTGAAAATATTTTGACTCTTTTTGAGCTGTTTACGGACATTTCAGTTTTCAATTTTTTAGTTTTTTTTTTTATAATTGTCAATAAAATTTTATTTGGTGGGCCAAAAAGTCTGAAAATTTAATACAAGGCTCCTGGTATATTGTTACAATAGCAGTTGAAAAATATTAAAAATACATAGGCACAGTTTTTTTTTATAACCATTTAAAGATCAAATTTTGACAAAATTTATCAAAATCTCGAAAATTATCAAACATTGTAATTAATAAATTATAAAATGTTCAGTTTTTATAACTAAGAGTTGAAAATTTAAAACAAAGATTCTCTTAAATAATTCATACTGTAACCAAAAAATCTAAGCAATATATGAACACAGTTATTTTTTACAGACATTTTAAATTCAAATTTGGACGAAATTACATATTAAAATCAATATTAACGATCTTGGTTTTTGTTGTAATTTAAAAATATTATTCGGGGATATATGAAACTGAAAAATCAACACATTATGGCCTATCCATACAATCTACCATAGTATAAGGAATAAGAAGTATGCTCAATGATAAGACTGTGCATATTTTAAGGGGCAATGAATAATTTATTCATAAATTCCATATAATTTAATACCATAAATAAGTATATAATATGTCTTATACCTAGACTGACATACCGCCTCCGCTCAGAATCGTTTTTCTTATACAATGATATTATATCATTGAATTCAAATTTAATACCATCCATCATACAGTGACCCACTTGTAACCTACAGTACAGCAGAGCGACATCCACTTACCCACCTTATTTTAGATTCTGAGCGGAGCGATGAATGTATTGGTTTTACAATGATGTGTGTTTTTTTTTATATTTTTATATTTTTATATTTTTATATTTTTGTGTCTGTCATCACGTTTTGGGACAGTAAAAGTGCTTGGATTTTCTTCATCAGTAGCTTTTCTGATAGGAAAGTGAATCTAGTTGGTACTTTGGGGGGTCAAAAGTAAACATTTTCCAGTAGTTTTCACAAGCGCCGGGAAAAACAACATAAAAATTAAGGAAAAACGGGAATTTTTACGCAAAATTGGTTTTCCAAAAAATCGATTTTGGTTATTGGTGTAACTCTAAAACAAATGAACGTATATACATGAAATTTTCACTGGTTGTTTATATTTGCATTTTCTATACACGATAACATTTACGTTTACGGATATTTTCATTTTTTAATTTTTTTAGTTTTTTTTTCTATGAATATCAATAAAATTTTATCTGTTGGGCCAAAAAGTGTAAAAATTTAATACAAGGCTCCTGATATATTGTTACAATATCAGTTGAAAAATATTAAAAATACATAGGCACAGTTTTTTTTTATAAGCATTTAAACATCAAATTTTAACAGAATTTTTCAAAATCTCGAAAATTATTAATCATCGTAATTAATAAATTATAAAATAATCAGTTTTTATAGCTAAGGAGTAAGGATTGAAAATTTAAAACAAGATTCCACGTAAGTAGTTAATTCTTTTACCAAAAAATCTAGAAAATATACAATCACAGTTTATTTTTATAGTCATTTTATGTTCAAATTTGAACGAAATTACACATTAAAAAACCTAGTTATTTTGTTGTGATTATATAATATTATTCATGGGTACCTACTTGAAACTTCTAAAGTTTACTATAATATATCAGTCATAGTATCAGGATTTGTTATTGATGTTGATGTATAACGTGTTATAAGTACCTAATTGATATTGTGATAATGTGATATGATTAATTTGGAATTTATTATAGGTCAATTTTTTTTTAATACCATAGATATGTATATAGTTTGTCTTAAACCTAGACTGACATACCGTCTTCGCTCAGAATCGTTTTTCTTATACAATGATATTGTATCATTGAATTCAAATTTAATACCATCCATTATACAGTGACCACTTGTAACCTACAGTACAGAAGAGCGACATCCACTTACCCACCTTTTTTTAGTTTTTTTCTAAAAATATTAATAAAATATTATTTGTTGGTTAAAAAAGCTTGAAAATTTAATACAAGGCTCGTAGTATATTTTTACAATGGCATTTGAAAAATATTAAAAATCCTTAGTCACAGTTTTTTTTATAAGCATTTAAAGTCCAAAAATTGACAAAATATGGAAAAATCACGAAAATTAGCAAATTATTTTGAGTAAAGAATTCGTAAAAATGTTTCTTTTTAAATCTAAGATTTTAAAATGTGATACATAAAATGTGATATAAGATTATCTACCTTTATGAGAAAGTCAAATTAAATTTTTATGAGCGTTTGAAATACAAATTTTTACAATATTGGATATTCACTCGATTTCTCATGTAGCGTTTTGCTTATTTTATTGTAATTCAAAAACGAATAACTGGTAGATACATGAAAATTTCACTGAATGTTTATATTAGCATTTCCTATACACCATACAATTTTGAAAATATTTTGACTCTTTTTGAGCTGTTTACGGACATTTTCAGTTTTCAATTATTTTAGTTTTTTTTTCTATAAATATCAATAAAGTTTTATCGGTTGGGCCAAAAAGTTTAAAAATTTAATACAAGGCTCCTGATATATTGTTACAATATCAGTTGAAAAATATTAAAAATACATAAGCACAATTTTTTTTTATCAGCATCTAAAGATAAAATTTTGACAAAATTTATGAAATTTAAAATTGAATAATTATTTTGTAGTTAAAAATTTTTAAAATGTTCAACTTTTATATCTAAGGATTGAAAATTTAAAACAAGATTCCACGTAATTTGTTAATTCTGTTACCAAAAAATCTAAAAAATACATTAGCACAGTTTATTTTTATAGTCATTTTAAGTTCAACTTTGGACCAAATTACATAAAAAAAAACCTAGAATAACTATTTTAGTTATTTTGTTGTGACCGTGTAATGTTATTCGTGGGTACTTGAAACTTCTTAAGTACACTATTATATATCGATGGAGTATGGACTATGATAGTATCAGGGTTTGTTGTTGACGTATAACGCAATATAAGTACCTAATGGATATTGTGATATGATTAATTTGGAATTTATTATAGGTAAATTTTTGTTTAATACGATAGATGAGTAGGTATATAATATGTCTTATACCTAGACTGACATACCGTCTCCGCTCAGAATCGTTTTTCTTATACAATGATATTATATCATTGAATTCAAATTTGATACTATCCATTATACAGTGACCCACTTGTAACCTACTGTACAGCAGAGCACCTTTTTTTTTTGTATATATTATACAGTATTTGAACCCAAATTAAAATATATTGGAATTTAGAGCTAAACAGACAAAATAAAATGTATACATTTATAGAAGTAAACAAAAAAAAAAAAATATTAAGAAAATTACATTGAAACAATACGATAATTGTAATATTTACAACACTTAAAATAATAATAATAATAAATAATCGTAAATAGAATGAGAAATGATGGGATTTCATTGGCCAGAATCAACATCCTGTGTCTGTTAACCTTACGTAACTCGTTACATTAAATATTTTTATTTTAATTACATTCACATTACTCTACATTATTTTTATCACATTTTGTTACTTTTTCATTCAAAAAAGTATAGTGTTAAAAATTAACCTTATTTTTTTTTTAAAAGAATTACAAAATCATAACGACTAATAAGCAGTAGGTAAACTATTATATAAATTGTATAGCTGTATAGGTACAACATTGACCCCAGATACATTGTTATATGTTAATAAAAAAAAATGTAGTATAAATAATAATTCCTGGGATCAGTAATAATATTGTTGACTATCTAAAACGTTTGGAATTTTAAATAAATTTAATTGTTTTTTAATTTTTTTCTGTCATCCTAGCTCCTAGTTTTTGTCATAAATTCTACATTCATAACTTATTGTGGAAAATAACACTTTAGTTCATAGAAATATATTTTTAAAAGGTAATTAATAATTTTGGTACAATCGCATTAATTTAAATAAAATATAATGAAACTATTACAGCACTACTGCAAAACAAATTTCAATACAGTAATTTGTAATTTGTGTTATATAACAACACGACACTGAGTATTACTGTATTAGTGTTTGGATCCTAGTCTACTGTCCCATACTCTATAACAGAACAAACGATTGAGAGAGATTTATAGAGGCAGACAACTTATAACATATTATGCAAATACTCTTGACAAAGCCTAACAATGTAAGTGCTTTATAGCACTCTAATAGGTGATTAGATAAAATCTTGCTAGTCTTGGGCGGATGATTCACATTTCCAATTACCTAGTCATTATTTGCACAGTCAAACGTGGTTAACTCTCTTCTTTTACTCAAAATCGTTGAAACTTCAAACTTTTTCCGATCTCTAGAATTTCCCATAGTAAGTTGTATTATCTTTGGATAACTCAAATTCTTGAACAACTCAAACTTTCTGGCCAGTCCCTTTAATTTCGAGCCAACCATTTTTGACTGTATTGTAATTTAGATCACAGTCGATTGAATTGTCATCAGTCTGACTTCCGACAGTTGACTTTCACAGAATATTTTATAAAATATCTGTTTGAAATTACAATGGGTGTGGAAAATGTACAGATAATTTTTGATGATCCAACAGCAGTATTTACGCCTGGCCAAACCATTACTGGACGAGTTTTAATTGTGATTAGTAGTTCAGTGAAAATCAAAAGTAAGTGAGTTATTAGGTAGCTTGTGGTAGATTAGTACATTGTATATTATGTTATATTGTTATGTGTAGTATAGAGACCATTACTGGATGTTTTTATAGATATAAAATTGAAATTTCGAGGAGAAGCTAATGTCAGATGGACTGAAACCAAATCTCGGACTCGGACTCAGACTCGTAATAATAATCGAGGAGAAAACCATTCAGTTAGTTATCATGCAAGAGAAGAATATTTTAAAAATAAATTTTTTTTAGTAGGTGCAAAAGGTGAGAATGTAGAAATGATTTATTTGATTATTATTTTTATAACATATTATTTTATTACCTATACCAGAGGTAGTGAACCATTTATTTGGTACAAATACCAAATAAGTATACCCACAAAGGAGGGAGGGGCAAAGGGGCCATTACTAACTCGAGGAATGTTTAACTTCATTCACTTTGATATCAATATCGCTATAACTATTATTAGATTGTAAGTAATTCGTATATCTTGCCCCGGGTGGGATTTTATCCTGTAGTTATGTTGTTGAGTTTTGTTCAAAAATGTACAAAGTATTTAAGGAAGTTTTTATATCATCTTTTTTAGAGTTCCAAGCTTTCAAAATACTATAATTAGTGACTATATAATTTATAAAATGAAACAAAAATGTTTTTGTATATCTTCATCCTAACTCTTAATCTACGTGTCATAGGTTTGCCACCCTTGGCCTACACAGTTCACCATTGATAATGCAATTTGGTATAAGTTATTTATTTGTTTATACTAAATTGTTATTTTTAAGGTGAATCACAATTAGAAGTTGGTGAATATGTCTATCCATTTAATTTTTCTTTACCGCATGAGTTACCATCAACATTCAAAGGTGTTTATGGAAAAGTATTTTATATAGCAAAAGTCAAAATTAATATACCTTGGAGAACGAATATAGAGAAAGAATTAATGTTTGAAGTTATTTCTCCTACACATTTAAATAATGAACCATCATTAGCTGTAAGTATAATATTTTTATTCAGAAATTATACATAATAATAAATAAATAAATCCCTAACAATACCTATATGTCTGTCATCTGTCATTACCGGTGTCCACTTGTAATGAATGATGTAATTTTTATTTGACGATCATGTACCTAAATATGAAACTGCTATCTTCCAAAATGAGGTCTGCCACCGTTTAATGTACTACCTAATTATAAATATGGAATAGTTATATAGTATAATATGATCTATTATGGCTGGGATATCCGCATTATTATGATTAACTCTTTCACTGCTTTTAAGATACCTACAATCTATATGTTTGACGATCGAGTATGGTGGTTCAAATGTACAACTAATATACTAAAATTTGTATATTTATGACCGTAAAACACTAGAAACAGTGGGGAAATTACCCAAATATATATACATTTTTGGAAATCTCAAAAAAAATTTAATTTGACACTAAAATAGCAATCCGAAAGGCCACACAAACAACAAGAAAACCAAAAGGAAGAACGTGCAAGAAAATAACATACATCGAAGACAATATAAACATTCAAAAAATAAAAAGATTAATTTTGTCAAAATAACACCACCTAAAAGATATAAAACATTTTTGATCTCACCCAACACGGTGTAAAAAAATAAAACTATTACTGGGGGTTAAGCATTTTACCTGCTACGTGGGTACACCCTGATAATTCTAAAGGAACTGGGACGCCTTCGGGTTATGTGAAAATATGACCTTTTTTTTTACTAGGACATTAAAAAGGGTAATTTTGGGGACTTACTCGGGAAACTCCTGAAGAAATTGGGCAAATATCTTGGTCACCATCACTATAAAGGTTCTCAATTGCTATCTATAACAATTATATAATAATTAATATTATATAAATGTTTATTTTTTAATCCAATAATTCTGTTTATTGTCACAATTAAATTTATGTAAAATCACCGAATTCTAAAAGTTTGTATTATGGTTTACCTGTTATACTTTTATTATTATTACGGTAGACCCTAGTTCATTTGTATTTTTTCGTTTTTGGTCAATTTTAGAAACCCAAGACAGCATTAAAAGAAAAGTATTACTGCTGCTGTTTGTGTAAATCTGGCCCGATGACATTGATTGTCCATATTCCTGGTAGTGGTTTTTTACCTGGACAATCTATACCGGTTACAGTTGAATTGGATAACAACAGCAATGTGGATGTGGATACTATTAAAATAAAGCTGGATAGAGTAATAATTGTCTCATATCTTATTTATAATATATAGAAATTTTAAGAATTTGTTGTATTTTATAGACTTTGGAATATAGATCACAGTTCCCTAGTAGTAAAATAAACTATGAACACAATGAGATTGTAAACGTATATATAGATGGTGTAGAAAAACACGATTCGAAAACACGTGTGGAACAACTTCAAATTCCGAATGGTTTGACTGTACCTAATTTAAAACATTGCGAAATTATAACTGATAAATATTTTCTAAATGTAATTATGCTGCATAATTATTGTTTTAAGAAAATAATTTAATTAATATGATTTTTATTGTTATAGGTTGAGGCTCATGTTAAAGGTGCACATTTAAATGAAGTAGCTTCTATTAAAATACAATTGGGTAGTACACCATTGACAATAGCTAGCAATGATCGTCAATTTGATTATTCTTTTCAACCATCAAACCCTTTACCGTCTGTGGGTGTTAATGAGCCAATTTCGGTTCCTGGATATGCTCAACTAGTAGTTCCAAGTAACCAATTATATACTGTGCCTCAGAATGCATCTTTTCACAATGCAGAAAATGGGATGATTTTTGTACAAAACATTCAACTTTCTGAATTCCCAAATCCACCACCACCCTACCAATTTTCAGAGGATCCGGAAATAACTTCTGCGATTCCAATGACTACTATTGAGAAATTTTAGATGGCGACCTAGAACTAACTCACTAAAAATGGCGGTAGTCATGTTCAATGGCCCCACTACCCAATTGTGATAAGCATGGACAAAAACCTTGAGGTCGTGTTTCAATGAACAAATACAGAAAAAAAAAATTGATACTAATTTTGAACAATGTTTTATAAAATAAACATTTATATGATAATCAATCATATCAATTTGATGATAAAATTATATTTAGTAATTTATATTATATATCCCAAATAATAAAACTTTCATCAATAAAATTCATTCATCTTGAGAATTATTTTAAATTTGAATACTTTAACTGTTAGTTAATAAATATTAGGTATTGTTGGTTAATAAATAGTTATGTATAACACAAACAAGTTTTCATATAGTAATACAATTAATAATTATTATTAATTATTAACTATTATTTAAATTTAGTTGTCAAAACTCTCAAGTAATTTTTACTGATATTTAATTAGGGAAATGTGTGATAAAAAAACCGTATCCGAGTTTATTTAATGAACTATACTCTGTCTCATATAAGAGTAACCTCAGGCAGCGCCCGATTAACTTCCTATTTGGTAGGACCCACATTGATTAACCCTTTCACTGCACCAGACATACTATTATAGTCGTATTATGTCACTGTACTTTATAATATTCTCATCTGCCGGGAACTGTACAAGTTTTGGAGACCTTGGTTCGCATTATTTTAAACTTAACTAAGAAGATCATATAGATCTCAAAATTAAAATTAAAAAAATATATTTTATTTTATGTAACATACACAGGTTGCAGTGAATAAATAGTGTAGCAGTGGAAGGGTTAAATCAGTTTTAGTCAACTCTTGTTTTTAGTGATCGGCCGCAGCCATAATATTGCTTTACAGTGTTATTTCATTTTTAATCTTAGAAAAATGCAAGTTAGAAAATGTTTTAAATAATAAAGTCAAGCACCAAGACCGTACCACTTGAAAAGCGTTATCCACACTCATTGCCACCACAGAAGCCCATTAACTGAGGTTACTCCTATTTAAGTTAAAAAAAAAAAAAAAAAAATAGTATTTAAATACTGCTTAAATACATTACGAAAAAATTATTTGAGTATTTTAAATACTACTCAATTACTTTTCAAAAGTATTTAAAATAAAACTTAACATATACACTTATTTATTGAATAATTTATAAAATAAACACCTCTAATAATAATATAGTTTAAATATTTTAGAACTTGTATTTCCCTAACTGTACAGTTACTATGATATAAGTTTTAAGGATTGCACTGGCTGATAAAAGTTCCCTTCATAATAATGTGATTAGGATTTTAACAATATAATATACACATTATTATATGCAGTATTTTGGTATAAATAGTAAATATTTATTTAATTAATAATAATAAATATAAATTATGATAATTTTTATTATTTACTGTGCATCATCCAGAGTTTCCAATTTATTATTTGTTATAGTTTACATTATTAACATACAGTTAAAACTTTATATGTATCATGATGATTTTAATAGATTTACTACTAAATGGATGATCTAGTTAATGTTATTAAATTCTCAAACATATTTTTTAACTAGTTCATAATATAATACACATTATCTTAATTAAATTTACAACTCCAACAATATTGATTAGTTTTAAAATATTTTTATTTACAAATTTTATTTTCTATTTATGTCTAAGCGAAAGAATTCAAATACATTTTAGGATATCATAAAATGGTTTATGAAAATAAGAAACAATAATTTAACCAAATATGACTATACACATATGCTTTCACTAATAAATATAAATAATCAATCATGTAATATAATTTAAAAAAAACCATTGTGGTTTAAATAAAAAATAATGAATAGAAAAATTATAAATGTGAAGTTAAAAAAAATTAACATTCAACAAATTACAGCAATTAATGTTGTTTCTAATATATATATATATATTATCTTTTGTTTAATACACATAAAACACAAAAATTATAATATTAAATTATACTAAATCTACATTGGATGATATTTTGTACACATTTTATTTCATTTTTCTAATATTTAGCCCATTATAGTGTTTATAGTATTAAAAGCATAAAGTATAAATTAAATTATTTATTAAAATTACGAATTCCAGTTTTATAATGTTGAATAATATATAGTGTAGATAAGTAAACATAATTTAAATTATGTTTTATAATGAAAAAAAAGACATAACAATTTTAACAAACAATAGGTAAAATTGAAATTTACCAGTTAGGTAGAAAACAAGCATTATAATGTCTACTAATAAATAAATTAAAAGTATTTGATAAGTTACTAATTACAATTGAGACTCGGGTGATTTAAAACAGTGCAATTGATATATATATAAATTCACATACAAAAGAATTCATATATACACAAAATACCTTTTGAAATAACTAACTGTCAATTACTAGTATAATAATGCATAGTCATCAATTATTGTAATTATGTTATAAACATTCATAAATGGTTCAAATAAAAATGTATGGTTAATTGTTATTAATTGAATGTATTTCTTTCATCTTCATGTATTATAATACAGTGAACTCATATTGTACTAAAATCATACTTGCATTTACTAGAAAAGACTAGGAATTATTTGTATTATTCACCGCAGGTAAATTTTGATCATGATCAGTTTCCATGGGTTCAACATCAGCAGATGAAGATGACAACCGTTGGTCGCGTAAGTTTCTGGCTGTGACGGATGAATAAGTGGACATACCTGATGCTGCAGCTGGAGTCTGTGTAGCTGATGACGATGACACAATGGGTAGTGGCAAACTAATACCAAGTTGTGTAGGCCAGTCAGTTGATGTAGATGCCATATCATAATCATTCATTCCCCATACTGGATCAGCAGTATTACGCGGGTTGTTACTACGAGCTCTATAATAATACAAATATAAAATAGTAAAAATATTCAATAAAATCAATTATAGATACCAAATGTAATGTATCATTCAAAGATATGTTAAAATTCAAAATCTATAAGTGTAAAATCCAATTCAACTACCATTAAAAATTAACAAAAATAATATATGTATCAAACCTAATGAGTGCTGCTAAATTTGGTCCAACACCTAGACTGATTCCTAGTGGATCTGAATTAATTGAACTTAACCCATCATCTGCTAAGTATTTACGACAAATTGGACACGTACCATGCTATATAAAAATTAAAAATAACAATGATATCATAGGAACATCATATATATTTAAAGGGTAAGTCTGATCACCTATTAAATACCCAGTTTTACTAGTAAATTATAGGCATTTACTAATAACACTTAGTAAAATATGCAAATGCATTTGAATTTTGACTAGAAACTTTGAATACATCAAAACGCTGACGATAAAAAATGAATTGAGTTTTTTAAAATAGACCCATAATCTTTGTATAACTTTGTTCTCTTGTTATTGTTACCATTGTTTGCATAATTTGTTTTCAATATTTATTAGGTAATGCACTAATACCACCCTGCCCCGGAAGATTTACTAGCGTAAATTAGTTGTAACTATGCAAATTAGAATTTATTATCTGCAATAACTAATAATACCTATACAATAATTATTTTACCAATAATTAGTATCTAGTACAGAGTTTTCCATAAGAATATTAGATTATAAAAAAAAAAATACATATACAGTGGAATATCTCTTAGCAAACACATCTATAGAATGGACATTTTTTTGGAAACAAACTACAAGTTTTCTAAAAATTAAACCCTCTGAAAGGAAGGCAAAATTCCAGTGACTGAAAATGTCTGGTACCTAATATATTTAATATTTATTTCTAAATCTGTTACATTATATTTCAGTATACTTTTTGTTTAGGTTCATTATTTAGTAAAATCATTTATAATAACAATTATTAATGTTAATTAATGTGTTGTCATCACATATCACATATGTATCGCAAAATATAATTAATAAGAAGTTGGAAATTGAAAAATCTAAAGTAGAAAACAAGTTAACATCATTTACATAAAATTAATAAATAATAAATAATCATGAAACCTTTGTTTAAAATAAAATATTTTATACTTTTTGCAATGTTAATAACATTAATATAAATATTAGTTAAATATAGTAAAGTATGATTAACAGTAAATACATTTTTGATAGGAATACATTAAAATTAAATATTCTAGATAACAATTTTTTATTCTAAAGCAAATAAAAGGCCATTGATTTGTGGTTAAATTTATAAAATAAATTGTACTATAAAAAATGTGGGGACCAATCATTTACTTATATATTTTTAAATTGTATAATAAATAGGTCTTTTCAATTACCTTAACATATTTAATAATTATAATTTGAGATTTAAAAAAGAATCACATAAATCTTAAAATAATGTTTTAAATTTTTACGAGATAAAATTATTTTTAAAATTTGAATATATTTTAAACGTGACTTTAAAATAAAAAAAAGATGAATTGTATTAAAAATGTGTATTTAAACTTCTATGACTTATCCAGCCCCCCACTGACAAAGGTCTAGGAAATACATAGATAAATGTAATAAATAAAAATTCAAGGTGTAGGATTAGATCCCACGACTCAATAAATGTAATTTGGTAAACTGACCCACAGTCAACTTAGGAACCGCTATTCCATCAATTTAACCTTGATGCTCTATGGATCATTTCATAAATTTTACGATTGAGGAAAAAAGTGACTGTGACAAACACAACTAGAAAATAAAAAAGGCAAAACTTACCAATTCTAACCAAGGTATAATACAATCTCTATGAAACATATGGTCGCAAGCTAGTTTCATGACTTTTTCATCAATTGCAAAATCTTCCCAACAAACAGAGCATTGGAGTTTCATATCTAAAAATTAAAATCCATATTTTATTCTAGGTAAATTCTTGTTCAATCAACAGCTTTATCGTGTCAATCAAAGAGACTTATAAACTAAAATCTTTATTATAATACAATAATATTGCATAATTGCATAAGTATTTTTACCCAAATGTTCTTGACAAATAAGTGCTGTAGGTATTTCTTGTATTTTCTCTTTTGTTAATGGTGGAGGTCCAGCTCCATCAATCTGATTTAATAACTGTGACACAATTGAATCTAATCCATCTCTTCCCCAAACATAGTCACCAGGATTACCGAGTAAAAATCTACTGCTGAAATTTTAATTTACAAGAGGTATAGTTTTGATACATAAAATTATAATATAATTTTCTTACACTGGACTTCCACCCGATCGAGCATAATCAGCAAAATTTACTATGACATCTTCTACTAAATTTTCAATTGTCCCACCTGAACTACGCCTTGGGCCTCTGAAATAATACATATTTTTTGGATTTATTTATGACCTTAAACAATGATTTAATAGGCAATATTGTTTAAATGTGTTATACTTGTATACAAGTTTTGTTATTAAGTATACCTTTTGTTATAAGCAAAGTTCAAGACTCATAGCAATTGCATATTTTTTTTCTAGAACTTTAAATTATAGCAGAGTAAACAACAAATTCAATTCATAAAAAAAGGAGTCCAGAAATAAAAATCTAGAGCTTTGTTTTTTACATTTTTTTTCTTGTGTGGCCATCGTGCTTTGCAGCTAAATTATTTCCATGTAATTTTATGAGATTGCCGTCAGATTCAATTATATTGGTGTTATTTTCAAATACAAACAATCGACAGATGATCACATGTTAATTTTTTTAACTGATGTGCATAACATGCTATAATCAGCTCCATTGCTTAAATACTACATGAAAATGATACAAGTTATGTGTGTGGCACATGGTATTCAAGATGGCAGAAGAAATTAGAGCACAAAATAAACCCGTCTAGTATTAAAAACTTTTAACAATGTTCCAAGTTGCGTTGATCTTTAGAACCTAGATTCTCGTATAAATATGTTTGACTGTAGAACCATTCATTACCCGTTAGTGTACATGGATTAAGGCAGCGAATTATATTTGTTTTTTAGTATACTTTGTAACTTTTTATTGCATTTATTTAGCATATTTTACGGTTTTTTTTTAGAGAATTATGGCACATAATATATAGTTGTTTTATAGCACTTTAAGTAGTCTCAAGCTCTGGTTAAAAAGTTATTTAATAGTAAATATAAAAGTCCTATTATCACATTTCAATATAAAAATATTTAGTAGTAAATTTATTATATTATTGTTATAAAGTAATTTATTATATTATTAGACATTAGTAATTCATAAGGTTGAATAAATGTTTTCCAAAAATAATGTATTTGAAAATGTCATAGTGTGTATAAAATATAGTAATGTACTTTGAAAGTTTTTTGTATCCACAAATAATATTTTTAAATTACAAAAAATAACTAAAATTGTTATTCATTGTTTAAATAATTAATTTCGTGCAAATTTTAACTTAAAATATAATTTTTGTTTACCTTCCAGGTTGCAATGTCATTACATGAGGACCTCTTGTTGTAAATCTACGACGACGAATATTTGACCTCCGTCTTCCTGCAATATCATCTCCTAATATACCATTAACCTAAACATATGTTACATAATTAACATTAAAAATCTGTGATCGTGAATTAACCAAAATGATTTAACCTTTACTCATACATATTTTGTGTATGAAAATGTGGGATGACAGTATTAACAATTATCTATACCATTTTAAACACAAATATAACAACTTAGGGCCGTTCTTACGATGTCCGGTTAAAGTTAACTGACACTTAACCGGAAGAATTCTGCCGGTAATAAAATCTGTATCAGTCCGTTAGCGTAAACCGACACTTTACCGGACATTGTAAAAACGGCCCTTAATCACTCTTACTATTACATAATTATTAACATAATCCAAATTCCAAACATTAAAATATAATATTTTTAATTCAATACTCAAACTTTTTATTAAGAAATACCTCAAATGTCTGAAATAATTAAAAGACAAGTATAATTATTTTTTAATTTGAAGTAGAGAAAACAAATGAGCATATTAAGTTAATATCCAATTTGTAAACTTTGAACTAATTTTTGAAACGATTTGTATAATATAATACAAGCAATCTACCTGCGATTTCTAAAATAATTGAATTATTAAAAATAAAATGTTATTGATGTATAACAAATACATTTTACATAATATGAGAACAAAATTGAATATACTTAATAGTTATTAAAGTATTTGATTAATTCTTATCTAATTTATATCCTATTTCAAAATATAATGTATCAGGGAACAACAAGTTTCTGTTCCCTTCGAATAATTGACCAACAAAACTGCTAAGTTCAAAGTTGGACAGTTTTTGAGTTCGTCAGGTAAGTATAGAATTGTTTTTATAGAATAATGGGGGAGAATATGCCTACAAGCATTCATCAGTCATGAATCATTATGCATAACCCTGGTATATATTATTTTGCACTGGAGTAAAAGTATAAGTTGAAAATATAATTAAATGATCATGCCCAAGTCAATAATAATAAAAATTGATAACAATATCTACACCTAATTACAATTTCAAGTTAACCCAAGTAGTAATGAGAATTTTACAATAAAAAAGGCAATGAAAGATATTACAATGACACGTAACTAGGTATACAACTCTAATAATCTCTAATTAGGTAGTTATCACACATTTTACTACAAATTAGTATTATTAAAATGAAATAATCAAACATACCATAAAGTGTGCATTTGCAAATTCCATATCTTCGTCATCTGGTTCCTCGGGAGTTTGTTGCTCTTCAACTTTTTCAATAAAACCCAAATGACAAGTCGGGCATGTAAAATCCTTAAAGAAGATATTATAGCATTAGCAGGTATTAATCAAAAACTTTGTAGTTAACACATGTAATGGAAAAATTTAAAAACATACATCGGCTACGCTCCCTATTTCGGCATCACAGCTGTGGCAAAAATAGCGATTATCTGCAATACTGTCAATAGGTCTTGATGCACTATCCATTGTAAGTTAGATATGTATGCGGTACTACAATAAATAGCAGTTGCCCGTTTCTGGCAAACTAAAGTGTAACTCTCGTGAGAGTACGACAAGAATGACTAAACTTTGACCACTGAATAACGTATCAGCCACACTATAATTGAAATATATTGAAAACGAACTACTTTTAATAATATACTACTGTAAGAGTTTAGTCAAAAGTAGAATATTATGTTAAATCCTAAACACTAGAATTCGTAATTTTATAGTTTGTAGTTTGTACTGATAAGAAAATTACTTTTTTTAAGTACTCGCAGTCTCGGAGTTTCGCGTCATCACGAAATCGATTGTTTCCTAAACATATTACACATATACATATAACATTATAAATATATAAATGATAAATCTATTTTGTGAATTTGTGATTAAACATTTATTACCATACTGAACAAATTGCGGGGTAAATAATTATAAGCTTAAATATTTTGACGAGGCGATTATCAAAAATAATTACCAAGGTGTAAATTAAATAATATTATTTAATCAAACGAGATGTGCAAATAGTTGGGAATTTTAAAATTTTTAATGAACCAATCAAGACGTTACTCACCGAATGTCGGGAAAAAACATCGATGTTTGTATCGCAGTACAAATTACTGCAATTACCTATTACTACGATGGTGGTCGCCGGACGGTGGTGCGGCCACAGAACGTGTGGTCGACGGCCGTGATTTGCTTCGTTCTAAAGGTTATGTGCGATGTTCAAAAATTAAATAATATGTTCTGTGGCGGGTGCCTACACTGACCCATTGGTCATACTGATACGTTAGGACGGAAATTCAAAAAAATTACGTATTCCGAATTCTACAGGTAGATATTATATTATATTCTAATTAAAAGTTTTGGATTGTCATAAATTCACATGACAATATCGTCCGGTCGTCACTCATTAGCTCAAAAGTCATAAACTCCAGTCTTCGTTTAATCGTAGTGTTAACTGTTATGTGATCGTTCCCGGTCGTCGTTAGCGTTCCGTCCGATATGGAAAACGTAATGTTTGCATTAATAACTTCCGGCGTTTTAGCTTTGTCCTTCGTTTTAGTTACAGTTTTAAAATATAAATTCACAGCCAAGAAAAAATGTCTACTAGGCCGTCACGTTATGGTAACATTAGTTATAAAGTTTTATATTTTTTACTGGTCCGTTATATTTTCATTTTTTCAGGTTACTGGCGGATCAAGTGGTATTGGTAAATGTATTGCATTGAAGGCTGCTAAGATAGGAGCAAATGTAACTATTGTTGCAAGGAATGAAAATAGACTTCGTTCAGCATTGGAAGAGATTAAAGGACAATGTTTAAATAGTGATCAAAAATTCAACTATTTGTCTGGTACCTTTGTTATGTATTAAATACTTAGATAGGTACCTACTACCTACCGTAACTAAAAAAAAAAAAAAAAATAATAAAATAACTATTCGAATAAGTTATTTATCTTTATTTTAATGAACTGACTAGTACATTTTAAAAATATTGCCTACAGCTACATTGTCAATACTAACCAAAATTGTCAAACATTAATCTAATAAATAAGTAATATAGTTGTTTGATTAGTTGATTTAGCGGGTGATTACAATATGGTGAAAACAACTTTTAATAAAGCAATTGATGAGATGGGACCATTATATTTGTTCATAAACTGTGCTGGTATGGCTATTTGTGGAACATTAGAAGACGTTTCCACCAATGATATTATGGTATTTTTAATTTTTATCATAAAATATTATATAAGTTATTAATACCAATTGTAACAGAAAATGATCAATACTAATTTGATATCTACAATCCAAGCTACTAAAGCAATAGTGAATGAAATGAAACAAAACGGTTATGGAAGTATTGTTATAACTTCATCACTGGCATCCTTCTGTGGTATTTATGGTTTAAGTGTATACTCTGCCACAAAATTTGCATTAAGAGGGTTCGCAGAAGCTTTAAGCATGGAAGTAAATACACATTGAACATCTGAGGATACTTGAAGCAATATTTACCTTGATATGATTTTTAAATCATTTATTTACATGTGAAATTGTAGACAAAGAACTTTGGAGTAAAAGTGACATTGGCCTTGCCCCCAGATACGGATACTCCGGGGTATGCTAACGAGTCAAAAGACAAACCACTAGAAACATTATTGATTTCGGAAACTGCCAAATTGTTTACACCAGAAGAAGTAGGAAGGCAAATCCTTCAAGACACATTAGTAATTTTAAAACAAATTTATTTTAGTACTATATGATAAACAATTTTCTTATTTAAATACTCTAAATGTACTATTTAGGATGGACGTTTCTTTAGCACTGTTGGTTTTGAAGGCCACATAATGACTATTTCTTGTGCTGGAATGGCTCCATACACTTCTTATTTAGAATTAATATGTCAGGTAAAAAAGATATTGATATTTATTTATTTACGCTACTGGCCACAGAATTTACTAATTAATCGTTATACATTTCAGGTTTTTTGTGCTGGAATTTTAAGGTTGATAACTGTTTACTACCAATCTACATTTGATAAAATAATTAAAAAATGTAAATTTGATAGAGAACATTCAAAAACTAATAAAACATAATATATTATAATGTATGTATAAAAAAAAGTGAAAAACTTTATTGTCTACCTATACTTTTATGGTTTTTGACTTTTGTTAATAAATATTTGTTATGAATGTTGAACGAAAGGTTTTGAATGTTTAAAATTCCTTGATTCTCTTAATTTATTTAAGAAGTGACTAAATAAAAACATATACTAAATTATAAATATATATTTTATAGTAAAACAATTATTATAAAATGTGATAAAAAATTAAATATATAAGCTGTTTAATTTAATTCGTTTATTTTGTTAGTAAGAAAAACAATCACAAAAATTAGCACCTTAATTTCAATCATTATTATCTTAAAAATAATTAATAGTGTTATTGAATACAAGTTTCCAGAAGTATAATATAGAAAAATTAGTTATTACAAAGCTATTCAAATACACATCTATACATAATACATCTATAATAATGACAAAATTATGTTATGTAGGGCATTTGGGCTCATTAAAGCTATAATTTACGAAGCACATCAAGGACTAAAGCAAATAATGCTATAATAAAAAGGTGCATTGAGGCATATTAAATATATGTTTAATATCTATTTTCATAGATTAATTTTGATGTAAAGTATGGAAAATTTTAGAAAGGATTGCATAAATGTAAATTGTAACCTCATATTTCTTATCTACCAATAAATTGTTTTTTAATCCAATATTTTTTGATAGTATTATTTGTAAAGAAAAAATTTCAGTTGGAACGATTTGTTTGAAGGGGATAATTTACAAATTATTAAATACTAATCATGACTATCTATTCTCTATTCAACATAAGAAGCAACAAGGGACAACCGACTTGAGCACGTGTGGTTGACATTGTTCTGTGTAGTGTCTATTGGTGGTTGATTAAATAGGGGAACAGTTATGTGTGAGCTAACTGACGAAAAGGGTTTGCTCCTTATGCTGAATAGAGTATATATTACAGGTCAAATTGGATGTTGAACAATACTGTATTCTATAAAGTTTTCTATAATTAAAAATATAACTATAACAATAAAGTTAGATAAGTGGTTAAATACTATATGTAACATTAATAATATTTAAAAAAAATTATAAAATATGGTGTAATTAAATTGTTTAACTTTTGTTGGATTGACTATTATACAGAATATATATATATAAAAAAAAAAAAATTGTAACAATTTTTACTGAATTCATTTCAATTTCTAGAAATCATGTATGTTTAAGTTTAAAATAAATGTTTACATATAACAGATCCTTAATAATCTGAAAGCAAGCTGAATTAATATTATCATAGATTAGAGAGAAGGGGCAGTTGCAGTAGGATAAGATGGATTAAATGCCGGTTGTTGTACATTCACATCTGGGTAAGGTAATTGAGATTGGTTATACATTTGCACTTGAGGATACAACGATGGCTGACCAGAGATTAGTGCTGGGTCCATGGTTTGTTGTGGATATGGAGAAGTAAAAGGGGGTTGGTCATATGGTGGAGGAACTTGCTGTGCGAAGCCAGGTATAGGAGCAGGTAAATTTATAGGATTAATAGAATTTGTAGGGAATTGGCCATTTGAAGGATCATTTTGATTAGGTGATTGAATTGGAATACCAAATTGAGGTGCATCTTGGGCAATAGTTAATGGAATATTACCCATTGTAATCTTCACGTTAACGTCAGTGTTTTCATACATACCCCCAGCAACAGCTTCTACCTGTAAACAAATAAATATTTAAAAATGTCACATAATTGAAAATAACAGATTAAAATTACTATTATAAATATTATTTATATTACATTTAATATATATTGGTCAGTTATAATTCCACAATACTTTAGATTAGAGAACATCAAACTATTTGGAACTATCATTTGCTCAGTCCATGTTTTTGAAGCATGAGCTTCAATACCTTGTAAACGTAAAACTGCAAGCTCCGATGAACTAGAGTTTGTTTTTTCACTAGGGTGCCTTGCTTTAAATAATAGGTCCTAAAAAAATTAAATATTTTTTAATAAAATCATACAAATACACCACATTAGAGCATTACTCGTTTCAACTTAATTTTGACAGCATCAATTGTTACATTACTATTGTTATCCAGTTCAACAGTAAGAGGTATAATTTGTCCAGGTACAAAACCAATATAAGGAAGACAGACGACCAATGTTGTTGGACCAGACTCGCAGCAACAGCAACAATAAAACTTTTCTTTTTCTTCTTTTTTGGGTTCCTAAAAATGGGGCAGTAACAAATCTTAGTAATTGTGTATAAAATATTATTTTACATTAGATACAATGTTCTAAAACCTAATACTATATTGGTTGAGTCACTAGTTTCATTATTATGTTAAAACTATTTTGAAAGATAATGTGAAAAATTGTATAATTTTTTATATTTAAATAATGGAAAGAAAATAATCAAATAGTATATGAAATATGGATACAATTGTATAAATAATAAGTATTGACCTTATTATACTTTGCTTTCAAATCAAAAACCCACTAATGAAAAATAATATACACTTTGTTTTATACAGGGAACAATGATTTAAGTGATTCAGAAGAAAATATTGTCTTGATTACATTAAATAATACTTGCAGCTAATGATGGTTCGTCATTTAAATTTAAAGGAGAAATAACTTGAAAAGTTATTTCTGTTTCTTTATCCTTGGCCCAAGGAATATCAATAGTAACTTTTGCAGTATAACGAACGTGTCCATGCTCGCCATTAAATGTTGATGGTAACTGATGAGGTAAAGAAACATTAAATGGATAAACCCGTTCACCAGCTTCTAATTGTGATTCGCCTTAAAAATAATAATTAAATATAAATTAAAATTTTTATTGAAGATTCTTCACAACTTAAATTTTACCAAGTTGCAGTATTAGTGATAAAATACAAAGTAAGTGTTATAAAATCATTTTCATTTACCTCCGCCTCCAACCAAAGTCATTTTATTTTCAAAATATTCTTCCTCAGCATCATATATGACGGAGTAATTTTGAGTTTCACCATTATCGCTTCTACGAGATTCTTGTTCAGTCCATGAAACTTTAGCTTCTCCTCGGAATTTCAATTTAATACCTAAAATAACATCCAGTTGTGGTCGTCACTTTAAACATGAAAAATATACCAGATTCCTACTCTTCTAAATAAATCACTTACCTCTTATTTTTACAGAACTACTAGTAGCTACCAATACTCTTCCAGTAAGAGATTGGCCGGGCATAAATACAGCCGTAGGATTGTCAAAGATGATCTGTAAACTTGTCACACCCATTGTAATTTAAAACAAATAGTATATTATATTGGGTACAAAAAGTAAACCGTCCGCCTGATGACAATTAAATTGACTGTGCTCTAAACGACAATAAAAGTAATAAAACAACAAGTATATAATTGTAATTGACTGTCTGTGAATCTTATATTACTATCAAATATTCAAATGACTAATTTTATGGTAGGTAGCATTGAAGTATGTAATTAAGTAGGAGGTATGCCACAGTGCCAGAGTTACGAGTAGCGGGTTAGTACAGTCATCGTCCTGCTGACAGTATGGAAGTCGCGGATAGGCGGGATAGCAGTTAAAAATAACATCTTGTGTCGTATCAAATATTTTCTTATCATACCGGTCATTAAATATCTTCAAACCACGGACTAAGATATACAGGACTGGACACGACAAGGTTGGAGGGTGTGGGGGGGTTGACTACGAAATGTTTTACAACAGGCAGTGTTCGGGGGGATATTTTCCTTTTAGCATTACTAGCGCCGTCTTAGTGGATACTTTTGGAACTAGATGACAATAATGTGATCTAGTTCCATAAGTATCCACTAAGACGGCGCTAGTAATGCTAAAAGGAAAATATCCCCCCGAACTCCGCCTGTTGTAAAACATTTCGTAACCACAATATTCATCTCGTGTCCAGTCCTGTATATCTTAGGGCCGTTATTACAATCGACCGCTAAACCTTCCACTAGCTTAGCGAGCACATTTAGCGGCTAGATTTTAAAATTTCGTTATTACAATGTTTCGCTATGCTAAATGCTACCTCTAACTATGAGTTAGCGGACACATATTTTAGTGGCAGGTTTTGGTGCCTGCTAAGGTATTTAGCGGGAAGAATGTCATAGATTATTATTTCTTATCAATTTATTATTCAGACTTTTTACGTTTTTAATAATATTTTAATTAGGTATAAAGCTTTTTATTTATATCTTTTTCTTGAAAAATGAATAATATTCATAATATTATTGAATTTATTGATGATGTGAATAATATTGGAGGTAGAAGACCTCAAGTGTATAAAGATAGGCCCAATTTATATGAAATATTAACCGACGAAGAATTTAAATACAGATTTCGTTTATCGAAAAGTTGCGTAGATTATTTATTATCATTATTAGAAGGAAAGCTAAAAACATCTACTGACCGGTAAGTACATACTATACACTGTATAGTATACAGTATACAGGCATAATTTTTATTTTATTAATGAAATATTTTTTTAGGAATATGACAATGTCACCAATGAACAAAGTACTCATTACACTGCGTTTTTATGCATTGGGGACTATGTTAATATCAGTGGCCGATATGTTTGGTGTTAGTATATCTTGTGCTAGTAAAACAATAAGAGATGTTTCGTACGTGATTGCCGAATTGAGTAGCATATTTATACAAATCCCTGTACATAATATTAAAGATACAAAAATGAAGATGTACGAAATAGCAAGATTTCCATTAGTCTTCGGTGCCATTGATTGTACACATGTACGAATTCAATCACCAGGAGGTCACGATAGTGAAATGTTTCGAAATCGTAAAGGGTAAATATTGACATAAAATAATACTTATATCTGTATGGCAGTAAAGTGGATACCTATAATATATTATATAGGTATATTATAAATTATATACCTACTATAATTATTAATTATTATAATGTACTATATAATATACAGTATACACAGTATGTTTCATTTACATGTATAATGTATATATTTACAATGTTATGGGTACATGTGTGTCACAAAATAATTACCAAAATTCTTTTTAAATTCAAAGGCATCAGAAAGAATCATTTTGAGTAACCTTATAAATGACTGTAATATTTGTATAATATACCTACAGAATACAGATGCATGTAAAATTTACATATAACTATGAGCTAATGCTATTATTGTATTATAATTTAAAATTATACTTTTTTATATGTTGTAGATATTTTTCTTTGAATGTGCAAGCCCTTGTGAATTCAGAATTGCAGTTTATGGATATTGTAGCTAGATGGCCAGGTTCAGCACATGACAGTCACATATTCCGAAATTCAAGATTATTTGCTAGGTTAGAATCTGGAGAATTTCAGAAAATGGCTATCCTAGGTGACAGTGGGTATGCATTAAAACCATACTTATTAACACCAATATCAAACCCTGTTGGACGTATACAGATGTTGTACAACGAATCTCAAATTAGAACAAGGAATGTAGTTGAAAGGAGTTTTGGGGTCTGGAAGAGACGATTCCCAGTATTATCACTTGGTATATATTTTCAAGTTTTTTAATTTTAATTTTTACTATTATTTTTTTCGTAATCCTCCTATTTATAATTTCAAGGTTTACGATTACAACTTAAAACGGTTCAAGCCATTATAGTGGCAACAGCAGTACTGCACAATATATGTAGAGAGATGAAAGAAGATTTACCAAATGATAATTTTGAGTTAACGGAACAACATAACGAGACTGAAGACATTATTGAAGTCGAATATAATGATGATGGTAGAGACCAAGACTCGACAATGAGAGACATGCTCTTAAATAACTATTTTGCAAGGTAATAATTGCATACACAAATACTTTATTAATTGTATACATATTTTATTTATTTAAGAATACAATCTAACCTAACCTTATATTTTTTATTTTTCAGATTAGTTACAGATTAATTACAGATTTAAAATTGGTACAGATTAATACCAACAATGAAATTTAATAAAATATGCACATATATAATTTTACAATTTTAAATATAAATAATAAATATTGAATTAATTTTTAATTAAAATTCATTTTTATCAAGGTTCAATAATGTTTTTTTTTTAATTTCTATATCCAATTCCAAAGCTTTGACACGTAACTCATGTTCAATTTTATCCCATTCAAAACGCATTGCTGTTCTCTCACTTTCCATCTTAACCAAATCCAACTGTTGTTCATAGACCTCATTCTTTTTATTTAAATTTAAACTATTATTATGATTCCTCCTTTTCTGTATTAGTTGACTATTATACTTGGTTTTTGCTTTACCAGTTTGCAAATTACTGGAAATTGGGTGACGTAATGCACCTGGTGACCAAGTATTCCAATCGTGTTGATAACTAGTTGTAGGTATTTGAGGAATAATCACATCATCATCTTCACTCTTCTTGTTCTCAACTGTAACCAACTTCTATAAATAACAATTTCTATATAATTAGTCAGTATTAAGATATTATTATTATACAGATATACTACATTATTCAACTGTCCAGTTTCTTTAAAGCATGTATTTACATTATGTAATTGACTATCTTCAAACATATTTGGGCTATGCATCATATTTTCTAGTACTACCACATCCATGCCGGCTATATCAATATCTTCTGAATTATTTGGAACTAGTTCTGATGAATATAAAAAAAATAATTTACAAACAACATTAGATTACAAAATGTACGATCAAAATAAATTAAATTTTTAAATTAAATTTACTTATATTGTCAGAGTCAAAGCCACTGTCTAACCCAATAGCTGAAACACCTAGTAACTCAACAATTTCTTTATAATATTTCATTGGTTTAAACTGTTTAGCTGTACCTCCACCAGTCATGTACATTTCTTTTTTCTCCAATGCTAAACGTTGCTTTACGTCTCTCTTCAATTTTTCCCATTTGCTTTTAATTGACTTTGTACCTCTTTGTACACCTAATTTATGGTACATAAATAACAAATTGATTATGTATTTGTTAATATTTTTAACAAGTACATAGTACAAGTTTTTCTAATCCAGTGATAAATTATATATTAATATGCTGTGTTATTATTATTGGTAACATGCCTAAGAATTTTGGTTTTGAATATTTTTTACAAAAGCTTTTATTTTTGACAAAAATAATTACAGCTTAACTAATGCTAGGCATGTGCATGATTTTGGGTGCAGGTCGATTACAGCAGATTATATTCTTATTAGGTAAGGTTAAGAAGCCAGTACATAATAAAATGTCCAATAAAATACCAATTATTACTTTATAATAAAATGCTTACCCGATGATGATAATAATAATATATCTAAAATAATAATTTAAAAATTTCATTATGTATTATATTCCTTTGTGCTCACATTTGTTGTATAATATTCATATAGGTACTTACCCGTAGATACTACCAATGATTTATCAATTTTCTCCCACACTTCTTTTTTCTTTTGCCACATATCAGCATCTGTCTCTTTATTTTCTACTATATGACCATTTTCTAGTATAAGTTGAACTAAAATTTCTTCTTCGCAAGAAGAGAAATTCACCTGCCTATCTCTTTTTGTGTTAATCATTTTACAAAATATAGATAACTAATAACAGTAAAATCCCAACGGTAAAAAAGACAAAACGGTAAAACGGTAATGTAAACATAAAATAAATGAACATGTAAAATTCAGATATTATAAAAAAAATAGCATCAGTTTTCAGTGTTATCAAAATATAATATGTTCCATTATCAGTTATTGCACAACAGCTGGTTTCAATAGCCAATGAAATCGTTGTTATGTTTGAGATTAATTAACTGACGGATAGTACTAGCGGTGACATTGTAATAATGGTTTAATCTAAACTGGCCACTAAAGTCCCCGCTACGCTAAACTGCACGCTAGCTTAACTGACAGATAATTATAATTTAGCAAGACATTGTAATAACGGCCCTTAGTCCGTGGTCCGTGCTATTATATCCGTATCTCAAACCATTTTTTCTGTGCAGTTCAAGTTCTGTGGTTGTAGGTGAGCCCTTTTACCTGGTAGGCCTATGTATTTATGTATACCGTGGTATTTTTAGTAACTCCTTGGTTCTGTGATAGTATAATGTTAAATTTGTTATCAAAATATTACCTTCAACATTGCATAATAAAAATAATAATATTATATTATATTATATATATATAGTTTTTTTGCATTTATATTACACAAGTTTTTTTAATCCAAAAATCTTTTATTATGTGCTTAAGTACTTGTTGCAGTTATACAATTTAATCTGCACTGAAGCAATTAATTACTTTTTAAATTTAATTTTCATTAATTTCTGAAATGCCTTGCTATCAAATCATATTTTACCAGATTAAAAAGTTTTCTTAATTTTAAGGTGTAAAAATTATTTTAAATTATATTATTACAAACAAATAAGTAAGTATTTGAAATGGCTCAGACACATGCAAAAATATATGTTTTTAACAATTATTGTCTATGCTCTATGAGATTATTGTACTTAAACTAATGATGCATATTGCATATTATGATAATAAGTCTCAAGGACTCATTGTTTTTCTATTGCCTGTTAAATTCTTAAATGTCAATACATATTACTATTTTATTTTAAATAGTTAATTTTTTTTACCATTCAGTTATGTTAATATCAAAAGGTTATATTTGGAATACCGAATATTTAGCTACTTATTAATTTGCCTATATAATTTTGTATATTACATATTTTACGTCATTGCTTTCTTAAGGTACCGATTTTCTCTCAAATTTTAACAAATAATGTGTACATAAAGTCCTAAGACGACACTGTTAAATACCACTTAATAGATTTTCTTTGATATTCACGACAATATAGTAAAACACTAAAATTTTCTTGGGTTCTTGCATATCAATTTTATTTCATTAGAATGTGATCGCCTTTTGTATAAATGAAATAAAATAAGACACAGTTATTATGTTAGATTATATTAAAACTTAAACAAAAAAACAAAAAATTAAAGTATATGAAAAATTAAACTTTATTTTTTGAAATATCATAAAAAGCACATGAAAATTATAGTACAGTAACTTCACTAACCTATTAATTTATTTGTATGTAATCGTATTTTTAGCATGCACTTATGAGTTTGAAACCAAAAAATAACATATTATGTCAGCTTACCATACTCTAAAGAACTTGTAAAGTTAATTAAAAGTCAAAAACTCAAATAATAAAATTAACAGTTATCACTAAAAATACATATATTTAAATGGGTGAGACCTACTAAACTAGGTGCATACTGCAAACCTACTACATAATATACAATATTTATTAAAATATGTTGTAGGAACTTATAATTTATTATTATTATAAAATGTTTATTGAAGATTGACTAAATGCATAAATAAATACTGAAATGTTTAATTAGGTATACTCGTATACTTCACACTCTAATATTTATATTTTGTTTTGTCTATTTTCCAATATATTTTAAAACAGCTACAAACCGATGTGAAAAATTGGCTCTAGCAATCATACAATTTGGACAACATATAACAAAAATATTTGTCTTTAGTAATAATGAATATCGTTGATTAATTCAACATTGCCCAAAAGGTATTTGCTTGCTTTTAGTTCAAAATCTTAACAGCCATAAGGTGTTCTTAGTTCTCTGGCCTTCCGCACTACATTCATGTATAATTCTTTATTACACATCAGAATTTGAAGGTCTACATATATTTTCTCACCAGTTTTAGTTAATTTTCCATGAGCAATAGTAAAATACAATCTCCAAACAAATTTTATTATACTTTATAGTAGATTATCAAAGAACTGCTATTATTTTTTTCTACACATATCCACATAATATTATACTCTAATCAAGTTATGAACACAGCGTACTTGGCGGCTGAATTGTGCGCTGGTTCATGATATCACCACACTGCAGACATACAGATGATCATCTTGGCGGAGGTGATAAATAGGTATTATTTAATTGCAGCCCGATGAAAACCGGTTGCTGTCGAGTACGGTTCTTAACTTAAATAGAGTATACAATATAATATGTAGTATTATAGTATTACATAGTCATTAAAAAGATATTATTTTCTTTACTACATTTTTTATGAATTATTTAAGTTCTTTAAATTCTAAATTAAAATTTTTTTTATTGTAGGGAACAAAATATGAAATTGGACGCATCATCAAATAGAGTATATTAATTAATTCTATGAATTCACATGACTTAAATAGTGTGTAAGCATTTGTGCTTAACATGTCATATGGTGGAAGCAGTGGACAAGAAAGTGATAAAAATGGTATATTCTATTATATATATATTATAATATATATCAATAATTACTACTTGTATACTAAATGTATTCCATTTTTATTGAAGCAAGAAAGTGCTATTATTTATAATATATATATATTTTTTATTATTATCTATAGGGTTTTCATACATTGATGACATTCCAGTTAAAATTATTGAAAAATACAAGCCTCCCAAAAAGATAACATTACCTGGTGTACTACAACATAAACCTACATCTAATGCATTAAAAACCCAGGTAATAACATTACAATATTCTAGATAAATGTAGATTAAATTATGTGTTAATTTTCTGATTTGTGACTATTTTTGTATTAGTATGATTTTAATTTGGAAAAAAATGTACTTGAGAAAATGGCAATATGGAGCAAAATACGAGAAGAAGCTCAAACTAAACGCCATTCACAGGCTGCTGAGTTCAAAACACAAGATTGTTTAGATTTAGATAAGTTGACGTTATTAAATCCAGCACAACCACAAAATACTCAAGTTTTACAACCAATACCTGCTCAACAAATGAACTTCAAAATGTCTTCATATGACACCATGCTCACAAAAAATATAAATATATCAGATTTTGAGTCCGATACATCCAGTCCATTTGACAATATGGAATTAAAAACTATTAATGATTTAGAAGAATTAGCTTCTGTCTTAAAACCAACGTCAATCTACAATAATGACAATATTAAAAATGTTCAACCATCTGATATAAATGTTTCTCAATATTATCCAAAACCTATCTACAATAATTATCCAGAACATTTTAGTAACAATGAATTTTTACATAGTCCTAATACTAAAACAAACCAGACTATTAGTTCTATTCGCATGTCCAATTCAAATGTTTTTGACGATAAAAATAAGAAAGCAGATTTGCCACCCGTTACTATGCCAAATATTCTATTACAATTGGAGGCTGACTTAAATACTTCAAAGTTTAATGATGAATCACCAGTAAGTGTTATAAACCTGAAAGAATTATTATTGTAAACAAACTAACTAACCTTTCTTTCAGAATGATCCACAAAAATCTCAACCACACATTACAACAAATGGGTCTAAATCACCTACATGTTCATTTCCTAATCCATACAGATCACTTTCTCCAACTAGCCAGTGCCTTGCTGATCAAATGCATCAAATGGGCTTTTCTTTATCGCGGGCTGCACGAGCCTGTAAACTATTTGGTAAAGACGAATCAAAGGTATATAACATAGTTATCTAATCACCTAACATAATTCTAACTAGCTTTTATAATTTCAAGGTGATAGAGTTTTTAATTCAAATACATTCCATTGAGGAGACTAGCGGTTATACTGCTGATCGTGTAGAACAAGCACTGGTGGTTAATAATTTTAATGCTGATCATGCAATCACTTTTCTTAAAAATGTTGATAGGCTTATTGATTTTGGATTTCGAGAAGAAAATATTTGCAGTGCACTAGTGAAGTGCAATAACGATCCTGATAAAGCACTTGATAGTCTTGTGTCTTATTAAGTAAAATAATATGCACGAGAATACATTAACCTGTACGATAACTATGTATTGTTCAGAATTATCATTGACAGCCAAACAGGTGTGTTCGATTTATTGTGATATATACATTATACACGTGTTACAAAAATTGAAACATATTTAAAAATGGTATACATGTATAATTATTATAATAATCTTTTTGTTTCATGTAATAATCGCTTTACACTGCTTTATGTTCCCTACTTATATTCTGTTATAAAATTTTAGTTTAATATGAATGGTTTTGTGTATACATATTTTTACTATATAAATGTTTATTAATTTTTTTTTTAGAGAAAATAATTATATAATTAATATTATACATGTGTACCTTAAATGTTACTTTTTTTGTTAAATTACGTATTACCTTTTCTCTTATAATTTATTATATTTTTTTATTATTAAAAATATATATGCTGTTTTTATTTTATGTCCTCTGAATACTTCAACAATCATTATTTATTGACTATCAGTTATCATGATATTGTATGATTATAAAAAAAGAAATGAAAAAACGTAATTTATCAAATTGAAAATTTACAAATTATTCGGTAGTTAAAAATGTATAAAATGTTAAAATTTTATAGCTAAGGATTGAAAAAGTTAAAACAGGGTTCCACGTAAATAGGTTATAACTTATAATATTTAAATTACTTTATTCACATTTCACAATAATATTATCAATCTTTGTACTTGTCCTTGAGTGTACTCACTGTGGCGATATAAACTTCTGTTTTTCAAATGAGAACCACCCTTTTTTACTAAATAATTTTAGTGGATAATATTTTTTTACCTAATTAAAAATTTTAATGAGTAGTTTCTTAGTTGTCAAAATATTTCTATTAAGGATTATAGTTATTAAAAATGGTTTTACATGAATATAAAATAGATGTAAGACTAGATATCTAGTATTTATTATACTTGCAGGGCCATTTTTTTAAAAATCATTAATATTGTTATATTAGTATTAATGACTACAATTTTCAAATCATTATAACCCCCATATCTTATAAACTCATTACCATGGACATTTTATCCTTACAATAACTCTAAAACTACCCGCACGAATTTCAGAAAATGATCTACTGTATAATTTACAATTGAAAATGGGTATTCTCATTTGAAAAACAGAAGTTTGTATCTTCATAGGACACTCATTAAGTAGGTAGTACAAAAAATCTCAAAGAATTTGAAAATACCTATGGTCTTAAAGTATATTATTTAAAAATTCCAAAAATCAGATTTTGAATAACAGCATTATTGAAAAAAAGGGGGGTTGGCATGCTTGGCGAATCACCTTGTATATAATTTTGATTGAAATTCTTGAAATCAAATCTAAAATTTGATTTAACTATCAATGAACTGATCTCTGCACATTTTACATCAATATTTCCAGAACTTATCTAATTATGTTCAATAAAATATAAACTTTGTCAAAACTTAGAAATTAGAAGAGGCAACATTGGAGGATATTGTATAAAAATAAGTATTGAAAGCGAAGAAGACACACCTCAGGAGTTCATTCAAGAGGCAATCAATATATTATATGAAGAAAAACAATTTTTTGCATGGATAAATAGATTGTTTTTAAAAAAAAAAATTTCTAATATGCGTAAAATAAATTTCAAATGTATTGAATTATTAATTAATGGTTATGAAATATAATAATAAGATTAGGTATCGAAAATGTTAACACTAAAATGTATGCATGACCAAAGAAAAAAAAATATGAGGGAGGTAGAAAAATTGTATGGATTCAACACTGCAGCGACTAAAACTGATAGGTACATAATATTATAACATATTATTATATCGTATAGGTAATATGCATTCTGCGCTGGCTGACAAGATAACATAGAATGACAGAATTTACTTTAAATTAAATTAAAATGTCTTAGATCTAACAGCATTACAGCAAGTAAGATAGAAGTAACAAAATATTTTTTAAGATTCTTAGCAGGGAGATGTTGAATGAATTGGCTTACACAAACATGTGTGATGTGTGTCTGACGACAATCTGACGTCACCTTTAGGAGCAGTTAAAATGCTCTAATTTTCAACTTTCTGGGTAGTTTCTGCCTTTCTGGTAGCAAATTGAATTTATTTGGTACTTTGGTCAAAAGTTGAAACTTTCTCAGTAACTTAAATTTTGAAAATAATCGGGAAAACAAAAAAATACAATTTTAAATACAAAAATGTGTAGGTACGCAAGTTTTTAAAAAAATTGATTTAGTTTTTTTATAGTTTATACATACATGACTAAGCACATGAGTATCGTCAGTAGGCTCCTCCCATCCGTCTTCATGTTTACCTAGTTATAGGCTTCAGCGGCTTCAGGTATAGTAGTTTAGTACCAACACTAGTACCTACTGAAGTAGACTTCATAATAAGTATATTTTATGATGATAATATATTATTATTATTATTATTATTATTATTATTATTATTAAAGTTAATTATTTTATTATTAATAATACAGAACCTAGGTGGCTAGGTTGAATTAATTTTGGTCGAAAACATTGCATTTAAAAATGTCATTGTGTGTACAAAATTTTGGAAATATATAATGGCGTATCTACGCGGGGGTTATGGGGGCAATAACCCCGCTATATGAAAATCCTAGATACGCTACTGGGCCACGAGCAGCGATCGATTAATATATTTAAATTACAGCAAAATAACTAAGATCATTACCTATTTTTCGTTTAAAATTAATAAGCAGGTATCTATATTCAATTTTGTCCCAATTTGAAATTATAATAGATACCTAACTATAAAAAATCCTTGTTTGTAATTATTTTTTATATAAATATAACCTACTGAATATGAAAAACCTTGTTTTCAGTCCTTAAGTATAAAAATCAAAGATTTTATAATTTTTGTGATTTTAGTAAATTTTGTCAAAGTTAGAACTTTAAATGCCTAAAACAAAAAAATGTGCCTATTATACTTTATATTTTATAAAAACTTATGAGGAAGACGAGGATCCTTGTATTGAATGTTTAAGCTACTTTGGGTGGATAAAAGTAAAAATTTCACAGTAGCTTTCAAAAGCGCCATGAAAAACATAAGAAAAAATAAGGAAAAACGGGAATTTTTAAGCAAAATCTGTTTTCGAGAAAATCAATTTTGGTTTTTGGTGTAACTTTAAAACAAATGACCGTAGATACATGAAATTTTCACCGATTGTTTATATTTGCCCTTTCTAAACACGATAACATTTTCAAAATATTTTGAACTGTTAAGGGACATTATTTGTTGAGTAAAAATACTTGAAAATTTAATACAAGGCTCCTACTAAATTGTTTCAATGGCATTTGAAAAATATTAAAAATCCTTTGTCACAGTTTTTTTTTATAAGCATTCAAAAATTGACAAAATATGGAAAAATCACAAAAATTAGCAAATTATTTTGAGTTAAGAATTCGTAAAAATTTTTCTTTTTAAATCTAAGGTTTTAAAATGTAATACAAGATTCCTTTTAAGATTATCTACCTTTATCAAAAAAAAAAAAAAATGTCTACAAGAAAGTCAAATTAAATTTTTATGAGCGTTTGAAATTCAAATTTTTAGAACATTGGATATTCACTCGATTTCTCATGTAGCGATTTCCTTATTTTGTTGTAATTCAAAAACTAATAACTGTAGATACATGAAAATTTCAATGAATGTTTATATTAGCATTTCCTATATTATACACCATACAATTTTGAAAATATTTTGACACTTTTTGAGCTGTTTACGGACATTTTCAGTTTTCAATTTTTTTAGTTTTTTTTCTATGAATAGGTATCAATAAAGTTTTATCTGTTGGGCCAAAAAGTGTAAACATTTAATACAAGGCTCCTGATTTATTGTTACAACATCAGTTGAAAAATATTAAAAATACATAGTAACAATTTTTTTTTATAAGCATTTAAAGATCGAATTTTGACAAAATTTATGAAATTTAAAATTGAATAATTATTTTGTAGTTAAAATTTTTTTAAATGTTCAACTTTTATATCTAAGGATTGAAAATTTAAAACAAGATTTCACGTAAGTAGTTAATTCTGTTACCAAAAAATCTAAAAAATACATAAGCACAGTTTATTTTTATAGTCATTTTGAGTTCAAATTTGGACGAAATTACATAATAAAAAACCTAGAACAACTATTTTAGTTATTTTGTTGTGATTGTGGGAACTTAAAACTTCTAAAGTACACTATTATATATCTATGATAAGATCAGGGTTTGTTGTTGATGTATAACTTAACTCGTTATAAGTAGTAAGTACCTAATGGATATTGCGATATGATTAATTTGGAATTTATTATAGGTACCTATTATATATCAATTTTTTTTTTTACTACCATAGATAAGTATATAATATGTGTTATACCTAGACTGACACACCGTCTTCACTCAGAATCGTTTTTCTTATATACAATGATATTAAATCATTGAATTCAAGTAAAGCACCTTTTTATTATATGGATAACATAAATACATTTAAAAGTTGCCAGTTTGAGAACATAAAGTTTTCTTTTTCATTTAATTATTAAAAGTGATTGGTATATAGGTGCCATCAAAAAAAATGAAAACACTACGACACAGATAAAGTTCTCCCCTATGTGTTGTGGAATTTTGGTAATTCTTCTATAAATACAGAGGAGTGAAGGTGTCCGGCGCAAAACAGTTTTTGTTATGTTGTACATTTGTAAGAAGAAGACAACACATGTGTTTGTGACGTCCTCTTAATTTTTTTTTTTTAAACTTTAGTGTTTTCTGAAATAATCAATGTTCCGTTGATTATAAAAAAACTATAAACTTTTATATAAAAACACTGCAAGAGCTCAAATATATCCAACCTTAATTATTTATGTGCATAGGTACAATGAATGCTGGATGATGACCAACAAACTGAACGTATGTTGAAAAATTTTGTATGGGAAATTTTTACTTTTAACTCCCCCATAGTACCAACCAACTATAGGTAGATTCAATTTCCTATCAGAAAAGATACTGTTGAAGAAAATTCAAGCACTTTTACTGTCCTAAAAGGTGATGACAGACACAAACAAAAATAAAAATTAATATTAAAAAAACACACATTGTAAAATCGATAAATTCATCTCTCCACTCAAAATAATCTAAAAATAAGAATTTTGAGTGAATGTGAGTTTGTCTGTGACACTTGGAGAGATAGTAAATAGATTTTTATTATTATTTATTACTGTTTAAACTTAAATTCATTAGTTTAACACTGTAACAGCCTTATGACCCAATGCCCTATTATAGCTGACTATAGGAGATATGGCTGGATGCCCAATGGTTGGTTTCAATAAATAAACACAGTTTTTGTATATTTCCATAATATTTTTCTATATTATAAAATATATTTAAAAAAATACATGATACAATTTAAACGTGCCTATAAATATTTAATTTCTACGTTTTTATATAAATTAATACAACTAGTTTTTTAAATTAAGTTAACTTAACTATGAAATATTTGTCTATCTAGACCTTAATTTTTTTTTGAATATAAATTAGTTTTACTATCTATTCTTTTTTTTATGAAAATTGGTTAATTTAATTTAAAAATGCATAATATTAGGCTTTGTAGAGAGCGCCTAGATTGAGACATAAATATAATCTTATTTATTTTTACATTTAAAATGAAGTGATACTCATCAAGAAGAGGAAAAACTTAATTCGAATTTAATTTCCTAAGGTTTTCCTAAACGTATTTTATATTATTATAAATTGTTATATTATAAAATCAAGTTTTTCATCTTCATGACAAGTATACTTTACACACATATAGTATATATAGTATCACGCACGTGCATTATGCATGTATGACGTACAAATACACAATTATTTTATAACGACGACAATAATAATTCTATTGGAAAAAAATTACGGATATGATATAATATTATAAAATATTTACTGTATGGAAATGCGCGAAATTCCAATAGGCACAAAATCAAACTTAAATTATTCAAACTATGTGTAGGACTAATCCTGTTATATATACAAAAATGTTAAGTTTGTCGTCAGAGACGAAAACATTTACATTAGCTTTTATAAATTCGAGTATAATTCCGTAGTAAGTTCGTGATATAGGTACACTATTTTTACTGTTTCTATCGATATGAGCGATGGTAATGAATATAATGATGATTGTGCAGTAGTTCCTAAATATAGGAAATTATTTTGGCGAAATATTACATATTTTACTTATTACACGTTTGGGACGTACAGTATAATATTGTCTTTTTATTACTATTATTTTATTTTGGTTTGTTGGTTTTAATTTGAGTATATATTATCAACCATGGCTTATTGACAAGAGTAGGCAATGTGTTTTGTCGACACATTTTCTATGCCATCATTTTCCTTGGAGTCATCCATTTCTTCATGTAGTAACAGAACACTGTGCTCACGTAAATCAGTATGAGCAGCATACACGTGATGCCCAAAGCGAGTACGGACGTTTTGGTCGGACACGGTTCCACAATAGTGATAGTCTTGTCTGAAAAATAAAATATGTTCAAATGAGTCAGTAGAGAAATTTGTTCGAGCGAAAAGGGAGGGGGTAACTACATATATATTCTTATAAAAAAAAAAAATGTACACATTGTAGTGCAAAATTCAATTAGGTTGCGGTACATCAGGATCCAAAAATGTACAACTATCACAAATCAATAACAGAGAATTAGATTATTGACTTATTTGAAATTTGGCAACACCCCAGGTGTTAGGCGAAGAGATCATGATACCGAGTTTGAGAATGTAACCTCGTAATGGTAAACAACATGATTTGACGGAATGATAGATCAGGTAATAACGGGATGCGTTAACGATGTCGCATTATAATTTATAGGTTTAGTCTTCAGAGGACGAAAACTTTGTGATGCATGGAATATTATGTCCATTATAATATAATAGGTATTATGATGACTGATGAGTGATGAATCGATGCGCATCGCGGTGCAATCGTTGCAGGGGCGTCATTTCAGTTTTTTTTCCGGGTGTGCAAGATTTTAGGCAGGCCAATTTTAACATTTAACCAGACCAACTTTAACATTAATATTTAAACAATAACCATGCCGTTTAAAGTATTTAGTATTTATTTTATCAGCTATGCTATGCTTACTCCACTATAGCTGATACCAGCGGGCTGGCACGAACTGTCTTACATAATAAAACCACAGAATAAGACTCGCTTCACACGGTTATCAAATACTAAATAGGGATACATTTGATAATAAAGCTGATAAAAAAAAAAAAAATTAAATTACATGCATGAATCAGTGGCGCCAAAATATATATTTACTTTGAGTATGGTAAGGTAATTATAATAAATAGGTGGGTGTCAAAATTTTATGTGGAGGTGTCTAATGCCATAGTTAAAATGTTGGACTTCAGCGCCACTGGGCCAAGAATATTTTATTAATTTTTAATAGTAATCATATCGGCGCATAGGAACATTAATGGAGGGCCAATTATTTATTCTATTATATCAGTGGTGCCGTCGCACACCCTGCCCACCCCCAAATGACGCCCCTGAATCGTTGTAAGAAAAGTAAAAAATTAAACAAAAAAATCGTCAATTATTGATGGGGTTATTGGTACCTCTAGGTGGGTAGGTACCACAACAATTTAACAAAAACTGTCAACTCGTGTCACTCGGCGTCCTTGCCTATTACGGATATCATAATATATTATGATGATGCATTTAGGTACCTATAATTAAACTACTAAAACAATATCATTATTATAATAAATTATTTACCTTTGCTGAAATCTGTGTACTGCGGCTCGTTGCTCTTCAAGAATTGCGATTGTTTTTCATCGCCAAAGTCCAACACTAGTATTTCCTGACTGATCTGCGTCATGTCTTCGCTGTTTTCAGCAGTGTCATTGTTGCTGGGTTGCGCGCCAGACACCGACCTCCTGCGCCGTCCCCAGGACTCGACGGAGTCTCGGCCCCATTCGCAAACGGCCTGATGTCCGCGAAAAACGGCGAACAAAAAACGATTTGTCGGTATTATTATTAGGTACTGTCGTTGTTATTATTATTATTATTATTTATCATTATTTATTATAATATTGCTGTCTCGGCGGAAAGCGCAATCATTACCGGTTCGCACGGGCCCAGACAGTATTTAACGTTGCACTGGAATATCACGCCGTACGACTCCGTGAACCGGAACGCTTCGTAGACGGATTGCAGTGCGTTTCCTTCGGGCGAGAAACCGGGGAATATGGTCGGGTCCACCGGACACCCTTCGTCGTCGATGATCTGGAACGTGCTCTTCGAATCCTTGGCCATGGCCACGCAACTCCTTGCGAATATACCGTAAGGTGCTACATTGTCGGCAAAACACACGGAAAGGTCATAAAAACGGCGTACAGGTATAGTTGGTATACAACATATTATTATTATAATAATAAACCATATGCGCGTGGCATATAGGCGGAGAGTTAGTGGAGTTCAGGGAGGGGGGATGCTTGTTATTTTTTTTTCAAATAAAGTTACAATATTTTTTAAATTGGCGAACAAATTTGCATACAAATAATATACTCTCAAATCCATGTTTTAAAATACGTTTTTGTTGGTTTTATCATATCATAATAATAATGTTACCTATATCTATATGACTATATTATATTGTGTAATAAACAATAGGTGATACGCATTAAACATATCTAACATTATTATACATTATACCAACACATACATCTAGTATGTATAACAACAAAAAATCAAAGATGTGTTTAACTTTTCCATTGTCACTGAAAACATACTTTAAATATAATAAAATGCTTTTATTTCGGGGACGATAAGGGTTGGCAAAAGAAAAACTACTGACAACAATATAGGATCTAATTTACTAATAGTTTTAAAATAATAACAAAATATAATTTTTATAGTATACACGTTATAAAATAAAATTATATGTTGAACAGGAGAATTTGAAATAAAAAAAATCGTGAAATTTAAAGGGGTTAAGACCACTTAAGCCCTCAGTCGGTCAACCACTATCTTCGCATATACGATATACCACGTGTAACGTCAATGTATAATAATAATACGGTTGTGGTTAAAAACGATTTTCTCGCCACAAACTTAGATGAAAAACGCCGGCAGATTGGGCTCAACAGATAATATAATGTGTATACTCACTGTCTTCGGGGATTTCGATCCTGAACGTCAGCTTGTCGCCGATTCTGACCGTTTCCACTTCTCTTGCCCGGGAGTCCAGGATCCTGATCCTTGGTGGCGGTGCTTCTGGTGCCGAAGTAATGCTTATCATCTCCGGGTCCCTGTTAAGCGTTTAACACGTTTATAGTTTTAATAAAATTACAGTGATTACACTCGTAATTATTGTTGGCCATTTAACAGTGCAAATCTTCACAAGCAGTCCACACAAGCTTCGGTGTATAACATACATTATAGTAGGGATAACACTAAAGTTATTATTGTTTTAACAAGTAATGATAAATAAAAGTATATTTCAATAGTATGCATGGAAAAATTAAGATTTTCATACTATTAAAAATAAAGCTAGATATATCTAGATAAATAATAGGAAAAAAAATTGTGGTTGTTCATTTTTTACTTGTGGTGTGCTAAGCATACTCGTAAGTACCCTTAGCACCTCTGAGATTGCACCCATTTATGTGAAGTATAAGTATTCAGTACAATTATTGTATAATAATTCAGTCCCGAGTAAATAATTATAAGAACGTGTCATTGGTGAGCAATTTTTGTAGCTATTCAAATTCTCACCTGATTGGCATCATCCCGAATGTGATGTTCTTCGAAGACATGTCGTATGTGCACTTGACTTTGTAGATTTTGTCCGCTTTCGTCATAACAACGCTGTGGTGTTGGAGGACCACTGTATTGGAAAACACTCCAGTCTGAAAAAAAAAACGTAATTTTTATCCAGGTATAAACCATGCTGTTTTAATGAAGAGAGTTCAATAAACCGGATTTCCGAACATTCGCCGTTTTTTTCGGTGTAACTAATAAATCTTATCTAGGCTTAGAAAATCTCCAACTTATTACGCGATTAATCTCCCATTAAAACTGTTTCATGTTCCAGTGTTAGGTTTAAATTACTTACCACCGACTGGGTATTACAGTCTTGACCAGCCATTGTTAGATCCAATCGGAATTGGTCGCTGTTGAGCACGTCTATGTTGCATGTCTCCGATCTGCCGAGCGCGTATATTCTACCGTTGAATGGTTTGTTCGTGCGTACTTGAACAGCTATCTTGGTATCCTTGCAATGCACGGACACTGAATATAAGAAACATTAAATTATAAGATCACGAAAATTTTATTCTATTTTATAAAAGTATTTATGTTTTTTTTCATTTCGTTTTTTGATTACAGCAGAGAGTCAGCAGTTACGAATTACGATGCGATATGATGAAATTATAAATTAGACTCAACTTAATTTTATTATATTATTATAGACACATCCAATAACTACTTGTTGTGTAACGATAATCATACCTTGAAAATCCGTTATTGTAACGAAAGTAAGTAATAAGTATTTTAAACTTTAAAGTCACATAATATATTATATATGTATTAGTGTGCTAAATATTTGTAAAGGTCATTTCGAAAAAATAAAATTCCTAATTTATACTTTAATACTTAATACTTTTGTATTTATATATAAATCTCACAAATAATAAAAAAAAAATATATAAGAACTGATACTTAAATCAAAATGATGTAATGACTAATGAGATAAAACAAAATTAATTTAGTTATTTTAGTCACATTATATTGGTCGTCGGTTGATGATCAATTTTACTAAATAAATAGATAAATAGGTATATAAACAAAAATCAAAATTGACTAAATTTAAGATTACTATTTTGCATATATAATTTTATTTCGCATGTTTTAGACGTGCAAAAATGTGCGAATAATAATTATTAGTGCGCATAATATGCACATAACTAGTCTTTCTTAATTAGGTTTATATGTTTTTATTGCATATTTTTTGTTTGGGGAGGGGAGGAATGATTGATTTGGCATTTTACACCAATATAATATAGGTACTGAATTTGAATATTTATAAAAAAAAATTAATTTTTCAGAAATTCCATTTAATAAAGTATTTTTTTGTGAAGCCTGTGTACCTATATATTTTTAAGATAATAAACATTTGTTTATAACTTAAATATAGATTTTTAATATTTTATGCATATTATTTGTATTATTACCTTTCAAGGTATAAACATTGTAAATAATATAGTTTAAATTGATTTGTCATAATTTTACATATTATGTAATTGTTGGTACATTATTTCTGTATTTTTTTACTGCATTAAATTCGCACTCTTAATAATACGTATAGCTATACAGCTCAATAGCCTATTTATTGGTAACTATATTACCTATAATAAGTGCGGATTACAATATAAATCATTTAAATATAATATAATATATAGGCACTGACCATCGTAACACGTTCCGGTCTTGTCACAGTTCAGATCGGTTCTAGTCAAGTTCAACGACGGGTCGTCGGTACTCTCGAACACGACTGGCAGCTGTTCGTGAGGCGGCGTCGTGGATTCTGCAAACAAAACGCGTCCGGGTCAGATTGTTTTATTATTACTATTATGAAATAGGTGCGTATAATATATTATTATGATGATGACGACCACACGTGTGTTAAGCTCACGTCACTCACTTTGTCCGCTCAATGTATATATAATTAATATATTAATATAGGTAGGTATGTAATAATAACCTAACCTAACCTACGCTGTAGGTTTATTATATAAACTATATAGGTATTATATTATACAGTAAGTATTCACTAAACATATTCACCGCACTTTTTTTGTTAAATTATGAAGTATAGTTATTCAAAATCTGGTTTTTGGAATTTTTTCTATACTTAAAGATCATATTTTTGAATACTTGATATTTTCTGTACCATTTAAGGAGTGTCCTTATCTCAAGTGTCTGTGCGAAAATATTATATTTAAGTATACTTGAAAATACCAAAAATCAGATTTTGAATAACTGCATTGTTAAAGAATAAACGTGGGTGGGCATAGTTGGAGAATCACCCTATATATATATTTATATACAGTTGGGGTGACAAATATAAGGGTTTAATATTTATAAACACATTGTACGGTAAGAGCGACGCGGTGGTCCGTGTCCATCACCTGCGCTCACAGCAAGGACGAACAAAGTCAAAAACCAACTCACTCTCGCAGTAGTTTTCGTAGTAATTGCCGATCTTTTGGCCGTCGTCGATCAGTGGTCGTTCGGCGTTCAAGTACGTACTGGGCCCGTCTGGCAGCGTCTTATGGTCCAAGTGGAACAGTTCGCAGTTGTACGCCGTGCCCACCGGCGGTCCTTTGAAGATGAACGACCTGCAGAGGAACTCGTTCTCGATCTCACAAGCCAACCGACACGCCGACTCGCTGGTCACCTGGGAAAATGGAAATAATATTCGGTTTACGCGCGTTTTCTCCGACGAATATGACTTGAACTTATTTTTTATATCATTATTACTATCAATATTTTTTTGTTATTTGCAGTTCCGAAATATTATTTTCGGTCACCGGTCCCAATGATGACTATACCTATATGGCTATATATCTAGTATAATATACCTACTATTATATATTTATATACTACCAGCATTGGCGTACCTATCTAAAACTCTTACAGCCACCAGAGGACAGGGGAGTAATTAAAGTATTAAAATACTTTTAAATTCTTGATAATATGTGCTCCACCTCGTCTTTCGATGTTCCACATAGATATTAATCAACTTCTTGACTTTTTTTTAACAGTTATATTCATTTTAGATTCTGAGTGGAGCAATGATTGTACCTATTTGTTTTACAATGACTAGTGTTTTTTTTTAATAATATTAATTTTTTGTGTGTGTCTGAATACTTGTTAGTAGAAAAGATGCTCCGATATTCGATTTTATATGAGGTTATTGGTAGCAAATTGAATTTAGTTTGTACTTAGGGGAGGGGGGTAAAAAGTAGAAATTTTCCAGTACCTACTTTTAAAAATAATCAGAAAAAACATGTATATAGGTATATTATTTATATTATTATATACATTTTCCTTTTGTAAAATGAGTTAAATATTATATATTGTAAAAAATTGAAAACAATACGTGTGTAGGAACTAGGACGGAGAAATAAAATAAAAATAGCACAAGGTGCAGGGTGTCAAAATGCTGAATTTGGCTCAGAGTTGTTCGTATGTTCAAACGCAATTGGTTTTAATTTAAATTGCTATGACGAGCTCCGATTAGTAACGTTTTTCTACATTCAAGTTCAACACTTGAAATATAACTAACAATATTCAAGAAATGTTATACATACGTCATATATGTGAAGTTTATTATACACGTCTTATAGCATTGTGCCTACATCTGTTCGCTTATTGTTTTAAGTATTTCAAACGATCGGCATACTACACGCCATGATATAATAATATAATATATTCAGTTGACCTTTACTTATTCTCCACGATGTTTTTAATACACTCGGTAACCGGTTAACTATTCATGAACAGTACCTATAGGTACCTACACAGTACACGCGTACGAGCAGACAATGTGCCCTATGTAAAAAAACTGCACAAGTCCCGGACATATATCCGTGTATAACAGGTATGTACTATGTGGTATAGGTAACCAGGTATAGGTATAGGTAACCAGGTATAGGTATAGGTACCTACTTCGAAAGTTGCAAATTGTTACAATACACGCAAGTTCCGTACGCAGATCAGTGTGTGTTTGTGCGTGTGTATTATAAGGTCCGTATTAGCATTAAAATAAATATTACCTGTAGTTCCTTGTCGTTGTAGTAATGCAACGAGGCGTACTGTGCCACTTTGTCGTCGGCCACTCCGATCCTGGGCACTTGGAATACGCGATTTCCTTTGCAAGCTTGATTGCCTGGAAACAAAAGTAATAAACGCATACGTTTAATACTATGTATTATATTCTAAGGTCGAAAATTATATTGTTACATTGCAATATTGTTGTCGGTTTTTTTTTTATTAATAAATCAGCTGGAGAGTGTATATATTTTTATCGTACGTCACGTTACCTTTGATGCAGAGATTTTCAAAGTAATCGACACCCTGCGCTTCGACAAACTGCACGTACTGGCCAGTGGTTCTCCTGTCCGAATCGCTCAAATGACACTGAAGTGTTACGTAATTGTACTCCACGGAACGGCAAGTGAAACGGTGCTGCATGAAAATAAATCGTTAGTACTTAGTATGCGTTTAGCGATTTAAGACGTATTCACGTTTTCAGTGTATTATTTTTGTAGTCATAATAATATGGTTTTATTTCAAAGTGTGTCGGAATTTTTATTTATTTACATATTGGCAAAAGCGGTTTATAATTTATATTAATAACCATAATTATCAATAATTACCTCGTTTAAGCAGGCGGCCAGACACGCTTCTTTCGTCGACGTGTAGATCAACGCGTTGTCTAGTCCCCGGATCATTTTGTTCGGTACTCTTTCGAAAGACCATGGCCTCAAACATACATTATCTGAACAAAACGAATTCGGTATTTTGAACATGATATAAAAATAAATCACTTAAAGTAAACATAAGTTTTAATAAGATACATGGGCGAAGGACCTACAACTAAGAATGTTAAATCACGTATAAGTAAACTCTTACGTTGCAGTTTTTCTAAACATTATATTATGTTATTATGTCGATATAAAAATATTTTTCCTTTTAATATACTGAAATGGTAGGTACCTATGTCCTCCTATGTGCTATTTAAATAATCTAATTTACAGCCGTTATACGACAATGTACTTCGTGCAAAGACAACTGCAACCATATATAGCGGTAGGTATATACCAGACCAGGTAGGTAGGTAGTTCTTTAAATGTTCATTATTATAATGTCACGCTACGCTAAATCTGATCACAACACAAAAACAACTAACGGACACTATTTTCTTAAGAACGGGATGCTTTTTGCTCACGCTCAACGACTTTATAAGCGCTCGGCGTTAAGATGGAAGATATTAGATATAATATAATGTATTACACGGTCCTGGTTAGACCTTTTATAATAATATGCTATAGTCAGTAGGTACTTTAGTAGTTTTATTTTTAAATATAGTTACTACTTACTAGTGCCTGTATGGTTTACCTACACAGTAATATAACTCTTTATCGCATTCAATGGTTATAGCAATACATTTGCAGACCTAGATATTACAGGTACATATTATTATTATAATGCGGATACCAATACACGTATGTACCTATATTGTACCTATATATTTTATGTAGGTAATATATTATATTATAATAGAATATAATATACGTATTTGTAATTAAATATTAATTATAGATACTAATTAACGTTTAAAAAATATTTGTTCAACCATTTGCAAGAGGTTGTGAGAAATATTGTAGTCTGGGGATTTTTTTTCCTAGGGTCGGGGATTTTTTTTTCCGGCGTTGTTCGTCGGGGGATTTTTTATTAATCCTATAACTCATAACTTTTTGTTTCTTTCTAATAATTTAATAGATATTGATGGTACTTTAAAAATATTTTCGAGAAGAACATTAAGCCGTCGCATTCTAGAAAATTACACATTTATTTGTGAAAAATTAAAAAATGTTTTTGAATCTGATCCAAGACCTAGTGTATGTACAACAGCTGATATTTGGTCAACAAAACACAAATCATTTATGGGAGTCACGGCGCATTGGGTACTTTTTATTTTTATTTTAGTATATAAACTAATACATTTACTATAATATTTTAATATATTTTAGATTGATGAAAACACTTTAACTCGTTTAAGTTGTGTATTAGCCTGCAGGCGATTTCGTGGCTCTCACACATATGACAAAATTGCTGAATTGCTACATGAAATAATATGCGAATTTTCAATTGAAAGAGAACAGCTGATTTCAACTGTTACCGACAACGGTTCAAATTTTGTAAAAGCATTTAAAGATTTTGGTTGTGTAATGGATTGGAATTTTCAAATTGATGATTTAGAATTCAATGGTATGAAAAAATATATAAATCTATACATGGTGTACCTATGGTTTTTGTTTTAATTAATTTTTTTTGAATTTGTAGATGATAGAGAAAATGCAGACGAAGAAGAATGTACTGATGACGATGTGGCTACATTTGAAAGTATCGATGTAGATGACACCATGACACAAGAAACTGAAATTTTTTTGCCTCATCATTTACGCTGTGCAAGTCACACATTGAGTCTTATTGCGACTACAGATTTTAACAAAATTCTAAAAGGGACTTCAGCATCTAGAATCAACCATTCTGTTATGGGTAAATGTACAACACTCTGGAATTTGTCACGAAGACCAAAATCTTCCGAAATCATCCATACTATATTAAATTGTTCACTGAAATATCCATGTCCTACTCGGTGGAACTCTCTTTATGACGGTATTACACAGCTTTTGAAATACAAAGATAAATTAAATTTAGTGTTAAAAGAATTAAATGTTAAGTATAGTTTCAAAGATATAGATTTTGAGTATTTAGAGGAATTAGCTGCTTTATTAAAGCCTATTGCTGGTGCCTTAGACTTTTTGCAGAGTGAGAATCAATGTTATTACGGTCAGCTTTTACCCACATTATATTCACTTAAAACTAGACTAGAAATGTTAAAAGAAAAAAATTTTCGCCATTTAGCTAATATGATAACACCATTGGTTAATTCTTTAATAAAACGATTTAGCGATTTTTTTGAATTATCTCCCAGTATAAATGAAGCTATTTTAGCAACTTGTTTTCATCCATGTTATAAATTAAGATGGATCTCTAATGAATATGACCACGAAAAAAATAGAATTCAAAACCTATGTATAAATGCTGCAGAAAATATTTTTAATAATGATATTACTAATAATTCAAATTCTAGCGATGAAGATGACGACAATTTTATTGTTTATTCATCGCAACCAGAAGCTAAAACCATTAAAAAAGCCGATCTGGAAGTAGTTACTTTTTTTAATGATAAGGCTAAATCATTAAATATTCTAAACAATTATCCAATTATAAAAAAACTTTTTATTAGATTTAATACCAGCTTATGCTCCTCAGCACCCGTAGAACGAATGTTTTCCATGGCAGGATTTATTAATAATCCTACCAGAAATAAATTATCTGATATAACCTTCGAAAAACTTGTATTTTTAAAAGGAAACAAAGATAAATTAACTATATAAATGAATGATGTTATGTTACTATTATACTATTGAAATTTTTGTATACTATTGAAATTAAATTTTTATTATACTAAAATTATTTTTATTATTTATATAATTCAATACGACAATACCAAGTAAATATAATTTTTAATGTAGAATTATTATTATTTAATTGTTATGAAATCGTATTGTGGTTATTTTTGGTAGAATCGTAGACGATAACAAGATTACGTAATGTCGTAATTGATTTATTTTATTTTGTTTTATTACTAATGTATTATTATTACTGAAAGTGTCAATGTTTTTTATTTTATTTTTCATTCTAATTACTTAATGAAGTGGCCATACCCACAATAATAAACATAATTTTTAAAAATCCAGTGACTAATTTCATTAAAATGTATTGAGTATCGAGTATCGAGTATCTTGTATCGCGATAGTCCAAAGCCAAGTATCGAGTATCTAGTATCGCGATACTCTAGAGCCAAGTATCGAGTATCTAGTATCTCGATACTCCAAATCCAGGTATCTAGTATCTAGTATCTCGATACTGATTTTTGAGTATCTTGCCCATCCCTGCCTATATACAATAAAAGATCTACGGATAAATCACTATTAATAACGAACGGCCGTGATCGAAAATCCCAACACCGGTGGTACACAGCGGAGGTGGATGAAATGGACACGGAACCCATAGAAATTCGCCGCGTGCTATGAAATTCCAGAGCTAACGGTATACGTAGCTTCATGCAGCAGGAACGTTGTAATATATTATAACGATGATATGGAGTGCGTGGCATAGGTACTACTATATATTATTTAAACCGTGATCTAACTTATAATGTATAGATTAGAAAAATTCATCTAGACATTAAAACAACGGATGATTTTTAATAATATATACTAACCGGATCGTATTTGCATTTTCACCATGTAATACAAGTTGACGGAACGCTGAGGAGTTGCCGCTGGATTATTAGCAGTTGTCTCATTCTGTAATTGGCAAATGGTTTCTTGTATGGGCGTCAACGGGTTTAAGACAAAACTGAAATTAAATCAAATCGATATTTTATTCAAAAATTCTAATCCTAAAAACCATTTAAAGTTGATCCATTACATTACAGTAGAAGAAATCTCTGGTAGAAATATTATACAACTAAAATATTAAATCAACTAACTAACAATATAAAATGTTGAAAAAAATGAATTGTAATTTGTATTATATAATACTACCATAATTACACTAAAATTAATTTATTTTAAACTCGTTCAACTTTTAATTCCTCAAATATTTTTTCTTGTACTCAATTATTTTACCTAAATGAAGCTGCTTGGCACTCTGGCTCTTCTCGACACCATCCCTGGCACTCATACAGCGTCAAGTTTTTTACTGTATAATATGTCGTGCCTTTGTAATCTAATTCAGTGAGTTTTTCAAAAGCGGTTCGACCTAGAAATGAAATAAAAATTATTAAACTAAATATAATGTCAAACAAAAATATTTTTTATTGAAAAATACCGGGGTCACAGATGACTCGAATAAAAAAATAAAAATAGTTTATTTTTTTTATTATGTACTTCATTACCCAGAATCTGGATTGTAATTATTATATTAATCTTTCACATTGTAATGGGAATGAAAAATATTAATACGATATGTATATTATCAATTTATTTAACAGTCAAGCAAGGTAAAATTATAATTATATTTTTAATTCTCATACAGATCATGCTCTCTCTTGTATTGAAAACGGAGAAAGTAATAAATATGTATTAATTTATGTCCAGAAAATTTATAGACCGAATATGATGTGTCGATGAAACGACGTTAATAACCTACAACCTAATTATTTTTGTACTGCCATCACGGCTTGAGCGAAAAGAGAAGATGTCCCCCATTATAATATTGGTACCTAGGTATTACCAGAGTGCTGCCAGATATCAATTGCCGTACGCAGACAAATTGGTTTATGCATCTTGGGCAGCCAAATGACACCCCGCGATGTGAAAATTATCCATTTCCTATTCGTAACGAGAATTGGGTTGGCAATATCGATTGTTAACCTCGACACTTTTGACCCGAAATTCAACAAGATGGGTATTCGATGATTGTTATAACTTATACATTTATAATAGATAAATCTGATACTTCGTATATTGCAATGCATGCTAGTGCCTAGTGGGATGCTCGACAAGTGTAGGTAGGTAAGTAGGTATACATATATAATACCTATTCATAATAACGTTTATGTGAGCATTGTCGAACTGCACTCCTGCTTAAACCTATATCAAAATATTAAAGTTGCACCTAGGTTCAAAAAAGGCCAAAAAACTAGTCAGCCGATAAAATTACTTGTTTTGTTATAAATGACAAACTGGGATCTAACAGAAACGAATGTATTCAAGTCCACAAGTTGGTCATCTTCTTAACTTAACCAGCTTATATAAATGTAATTATTATAATAAAAACAATAAACTTTAGATAATAAAAATATAAATTATTATTCGTTAGTAAATTAGTTCTATGCAATGACCGGAACGAATGTATTCGACAAAAATAAGTGCAATTTGACCTTACAAATTCATATAGGTACCTATAGGCTATATGGTGGTACATGGTAGGGAGTTTCATGGATTCCACCATACCTTTTATATTTTAAGTCATAAAATCTATATGGTAAATTGTAGGTATATTTTGGTTTTACTCATTGACGACGTGTGAACTTAATTCCAACAATTTAAACCTACGTTTGATATTCCATCATTAGTTGCATGCAATATGTTTTGAAATGAACATATGAATGAAAGTCGAATTAACTGGATACACTAGGTAGGTAGTAGGTACTGCGTTGTATCGTTATTTTATTATACACCACGACCGAAGGCGAATCGTATATACGTATACGGCGGTCCATGACCGCGGACTGGTAGTTTTAATTGTACCATAGTAATTGGACACGGATAATAATGGTAAATCACTAAAGTCATTGCATACACAGTGACGGCGGCGTGTAAGCATAGGAAGACGATCGACGAATTGCGTCATAAAAAATAAATAAAAAAATGTAAACACCAAAAATTAGATTTGCTTTCCGCAAGTGTGATCCCCGACGTGTGCATCCTGAATAGATTCGGATGAACAAATCGTTTTTTTTCCACATTAAAAAATCGGTTACACTTCTCGGTGTGAATACACTATGCTGACTTTAAAGTGCGATCGATTTAAACAATAATATATATACCTATATATGTGATAGATAACAATATTACAAACGACATGTTTTGAGTTCGTCACCCTCCTATCAGAATTCTGCTATATATCTGCATTACGTTTTTAGATTTGTTTGGATTAAACAAAATCACATTGAAAGATCACTTGAGTGTTTATTTTTTATTGAAAACGATTTGAACAACCATCTTTATCTTTATCTTTATTAATCGACTTTACGTAAAATTAACATTGTTTTGATGTAGTATTTAAAGTTAAATAATAGACAGTAAGACTTTCTAAAAAAATATTCTAAAATATGACTTATTGACTATTCAATGATTTATATTACCAGAGATGAATCAATAAACTGTACACATGTTACGTATATTCAATTTTTATTATATATACCTATTGTAATGTTCAAATTTACCAAATGATTATGATTGTAGTTTATTGAATTTTAGTATTAATAAAACAATAATATACAAACTACATTATAATAATTAAAATAAACAGTAAATACATATAGCGTTTTGAATATTGGACTTATCTTTTTACTAAAAAAGGAAAAATAGTGAAAAAGACGAATACGATTGATTTTGTACCTAATATACTCCCTATAGGTACCTATTAATAACTAGATAAATCAACTATAAAGTACCTAATGTAGTGCTGTGATTTCTTTTAAACCTTTTGTATATTATATAACCTATTCATATTACAGATACTGTAGGTAAGTATTTTAAATGTATAAAATAATATGTACTTATTTTATTATTTTATTTAATATAAAAAGTGGGTTGTGTATCTCATTAGTCATTAAATATCTGTAAAATAAAAGGCTATTCTGTAAATGTAGTGTATCATTCAAAAACATTTGATAATATACATGCTTTTATTTTATTAGTAAATAATAAAAATGTATTTTGAAATAAAACCATTTAAATACATTTCTTAATTTATATTAAGATTAATATTGTTAATTGTGTCAACTTTTGTTACAGAAATATTATAGTAAAAATGAATACTACATTAAATTATTTACTAATTTAAATTAAAAGTATTTGATTTTATTTTAAAACTCTATTGTGGATATTTCATGATATTTCTTGGGAAGAGAAAACAAACGTAAAACAATAACGATTCTGCAAAACAGTGAATTGGACAGTATATTTTTTTTTGTATGAAAGAAAATAATAATAAAATAGATGGATAGGTATCTAGATAAAATAAACAAATATCCAATTATTAAAAGAGAAATCAATCCTATGACTTTATACCATTCCTATAATATATGTATACATAATACACACACATATTTAGTAATTATTATTTATTCTAGATTTTAACATAATAATTATATTATTTATTTGTTTAAATTTTATTTAAGACTCGTGTTATATTATTTCAATAACTTTTCGTCTGTATTTTGTCCGATAGCGGTATACATATTATTGTGTGTAACATCAAATTGGCTACTGACAAAAGGTTAGGAAAAACTATATTCGAGCCGTTGACATAATAAATTCCTAAAGGAATATTATGATGTTTCCATAAAAAATAAATAATAGTAATAGTAATGTATGTATGTACTATGTATAGTGAATAAAAATAATAAGCGTTTATTTCTGAACCATGTATAATAACAATAAAATTAATAGGTTTTTTGAATTTCACTACATGTGGCAAATATAAAATAACTGTAGTCTGTAGGTGGACACACCATACACATCAAAGAAAATTGGCCATTCTCGTCATCTACGGAGACTATAAATTATACCTAGACGTACTGAAAAAAAACGGACATTTGATAAAAGAAATATTGGTACAATGTTTTCAATTTTCCATAATATATACATATTTATATGTAATATTTTATATTGTATTATTATTAATTTCGCAGTAGATATATTCAGTTTTTGTACACATGCAATCTACATCATACAACGTGTAGAGTAATTTCGGTTCCATGTGTGACAAAGAAACTATATCGTGCAGGTGGTTTCAGGATTTAGTTTTATCTATTAGTCGACGATCACGATAATATTGGGATATTGGGATTTTAATGCGGTTACTATGAATGGCTTGAAATAGTTTGAAATATTAATATTTAACTTTAAATTAACAAAATTAAATTAATCATGTTACGTCGATTAAAAGTATAAAAACGCTATAACTCATAAATTGTATATTTAATATAGGTAATTAGTAATTACTGTAATTGAAATTGTGTCAATAAAAATATAAAAGACGCTCTGCTGTACTGTAGGTTACAAGTGGGTCACTGTATAATGGATGGTATTAAATTTGAATTCAATGATATAATATCATTATGTAAGAAAAACGATTCTGAGAGGAGACGATATGTCAGTCTAGGTTTAAGACATATTATAAACATATCTATGGTATTAAACAAAAATTGACCCATAATAGGTACCTATAATAAATTCCAAATTAATCATATCACATTAGGTACTTATAACGAGTTATACATCAACAACAAACCGTGATACTATCATAGATATATAATAGTACACTTTAGAAGTTTCAAGTACAAACGAATAATATTATACAATTATAACAAAAAACCAAAATCGTTAATATTGAATTTAATATGTAATTTCGTCCAAATTTGAATTTAAAATGACTATAAAAATAAACTGTGCTTTTGTATTTTTAATATTTTTCAACTGAGGTTGTAACAATAAATCAGGTGCCTTGTATTAAATTTTTTCACTATTTGGCCCAACAGATAAAACTTTATTGATAATTATAAAAAAAAAACTAAAAAAATTGAAAAATGAAAATGTCCATAAACAGCTCAAAAAGAGTCAAAATATTTTCAAAATTGTTCGGTGTATATGAAATGCTAATATAAACATTCAGTGATTTTCATGTATCTAAAGTTATGTGTTTTTGAATTACAACAAAAAAGGAAATCGTTACATGAGAAATCGAGTGAATTTTTTAATATGAAATTGTCCGTAAAAAGCTCAAAACAAGTCAAAATATTTTGAAAATTTTATCACGTATAAGAATCGATAACATAAACATTCAATGAAATTTTCATGTATCTACAGTTATTCGTTTTTGAATGACAACAAAATAAGAAAATCGGTACATGAAATACACTAGAACTAACAATATGCAATGTTGTAAAAATTTGAATTTCAAACACTCATAAAAATTTAATTTGACTTTCTTATAAACATTTTTTTTTGATAAAGGTATATAATCCTATAAGAAATTTTGTATTACATTTTAAAATCTTAGATTTAAAAAGAAATATTTTTACGAATTCTTAACTCAAAATAATTTGCTAATTTTCGTGATTTTTCCATATTTTGTCAATTTTTGAACTTTAAATTCTTATAAAAAAAAACTGTGACTAAGGATTTTTAATATTTTTCATCTGATTTTGAAACAATATACTAGGAGCCTTCTATTAAATTTTCAAGCTTTTTTAACCAACAAATAAAATTGTATTGATATAAAAAAAACTAAATATTTAGAAAAAAAAACTAAATATAATGGAAATTAAAAATGTCCGTAAACAGTTCAAAATATTATCGTGTATATAAAATACAAATATAAACAACCAGTGAAAATGTCATTTATCTATGGTCATTTGTTTTAAAGTCACACCAAAAACCAAATTCAATTTTGTGAAAAATCGATTTTGCGTAAAATTCCCGTTTTCCCTTAATTTTTTCTTTTGTTTTTCTTGGCGCTTTTGAAAATTTTAAATGTTGACCTCCCCAATGCACCAACAATATTTACTTTCCAATCGAACAAGATACTGCAGAAGTTGAAAATTGAAGAATTATATCGACTACTTATCGTGTACACATACACAAAAATTAAAAATTAAAAAAATTAAAAAAAAAACATATCATTGTAAAATTAATACATTCATCGTTTCACTCCGAATCTAAAATTAAAACTTTAAAGCTTAAAGTATATTTTAATTTACCATAACATATAAATAAGACGTTTTAGGTATAATCAGATTATTTATCAGGTCCTAATATCCTATACTCCTAATCTTAAGTACGAAATACAATTATATTTTAATTTTTAATTTTTTACATTATAGATTACATTTTGAGATAATCACGTATGTTCATCGTTTGCATTTTCAATACCTAATACTTATCTTTAATAGTTTATTGTATAGTATGATTTAAAATATAAATTTTATAAGACAGTAAAGTGATGTAATAACAATATAATGTAATTGCCTTTTTCATTATCCCAGTAATTGTATGTAAAAAAAATAAGAAAATTGGTATAATTTTTATAAATGTAACTGAGTTTCGTCATGACTGATGAAGTGCTTACTAATAAGTAATTTTTCCCTTAACATATTTTGTTCTTCTGTTTTGGCAATTATAATTATTTAACTAATTTAACAAAATATACTGGGACTAAGTGAGTATATTATATTGTAGAGATTCACCGAGTCGAATTGAACAGCGGCAATGCCATATCGGGAGAAACCAAAAAAATATTTAAAAAACAAGTGCTGGTTTAAAGGAAACGAATAATAAACAAGCAATTAATCAACCCTTCAGAGTATGATTTGCATTAACATGCACCAGTGGATAACTACTATATGGAGTAGAGTTCGATTACCTCGTCCAACGACGTGTTTTTTCGTTGACTCGTCTTCGCTGAAAAATACTTTCAATGAAGAGTATGCTATGTGCAGAATGAAAAAAAAATGTATAAATATATATAAAGGTATACGCACTCGAATCCAATATTTTGCTTATCACTAAACCCTTCACAGTATTATATAACTACAATATGGCAACACTACGATGATAGAAACACGAATAATTCGGTGTATAGTTTGAAGGACTATATAAATATAATACAATATTGATCTGCTGCAGCTGGAACCAAAGAATATTATGGGTACCGCGGTTATATATTATATGCTTTGTTCTTTGGCCAATGTACTTTTAGCTGTACACATCAACGTCATTCGGACACGGCCGGTGTCAGTGGTGGTTGTTATATTACTATACGGACGGCCAAAACGAAAGAGAATGAAATATACAAAACGTCGGGTAACGTCGCCGTGAAAATTTTTTTTCCGGTAAAAAATCGTCTTCTATTTTTTATTGTACGGGGGCGGATGTATGGAAGTCAGCGTAAGTACCTCTCTCTATATATATATACACAAATTGATAACACAGAGCAGCAGTGTAATGTTTCGTTTGTTAGATCGTACGCGATGTCGTTATAATATAGAAATGTGTAATTGCAGTAAGCGTCTAATTAAACTGATAAACTGCACATTGCAGGCTGCAGCACACAGCGCGGTATAATCTATAAACTATAAATTAATAAGTAATTTAATCAATATTTTTTACGTATCGATTTGCGTTGCACTTGCACACCCAATATGACATATATACCATATAGGTACACCCGCGGAGGCAGAGAGCTATAACCACCGGGGGTCTATAAACATAATATACCTAGGACCTAGGTAATATTGGTACTGTGTAGGACGGTAGGTAATTTAGGTACCTACTATTATAATATAATAGTGTTCGGTTCGCGTGACAGAAACGTTTGAATTGGCACTCACCGGTGGACGACTTTTCATGACTCCGGACTCGCGATAGGTATGTGGCGTGATAGCCAAAGTCTATGTGCCTATAATACACCAGTAACAGTTTTGACAACATTTACAATTGCGGGGGAAGTTCAAATTTAGTACCATCGCACAAACAATTGTCGTCTTCTTCTTGCTGAAAACTGTCCAAGCGTGGATGCATTTGAGAGCAGATAACCTTTTGATTGTTATTGACTATTGTATTATGTTTTAAAGCGTTTATCATATTTATTGCTAATAATTAGCATACATTTTTGTTTTTCAATAAATATGTATTTAGACTATTTTAGAGGCATCAACCAAATCCCAAGTCCGTATACCACACGCACCTAACCACTGTCCCCCTTAAAACCACCACTAGAACACACACACCCGGAAAACTAGTGTACACATATAATATCATGTATGCTGCATATTGTTATTTCGAGCAGACATGAACATGTTGTTTAATAAATTAATATATTAAAAATCAAATCATAATATACCTATTTTGCGTGTGTGTGTATGTGTGAACGGACTGCGTTATATTATCGATATGTAGACGGGCTTTTTTATATATAATATATCTTCGTCGTATTTATAGTCTTATTTTCTAACTCAATATAATAATAAATAAATCCGTCACGTCAGTCTCGTCTTATAACACACACACACACAAATACAAATATATATATATATTATATACTATATAGGTACTGCACCAAATACATATCATAGATGTCTCGACGAGACGGCCCCGCCGCAATTGTCTCCTCGACGATGTATACGTCTCATATAATAATGCACATCGCAAATATTATTGTATACCTACTTATCCCATATGTGATGATGTATGTATACATATAAAATAACGCTCGATAATATACAGACGGCCGACACGAGTGTGTTATTTCATCGATTCCCATTCGATTTCGCGTCCGTCTGTCATCTGCAGCACACACAATCGGACGTCGCTAATAAGCTGCACGGATCCACGAGTGTGTGTGTATACAATAATAATGTACAGGTGGCTAGCTGCTGAAGGTATTATTGGAATTTATTTATTTTTCACTGTCTTCAAGTTGTTATATTCTTCTATACGCGTCGTCATAACATCTTCTGTTCCCAGTTCGATTCACACAATCCAATTGTACATTTTTAAGTTACCGTACACACACACATACACACGGTTTTATTATTAATGTCTGTATATTATTATATTATTACAGGTGCGTCTATATGTAATATTATAACGGCCAGTGTCGCCGTTTCCGCCGTCCGTCGCGCCGTACCTATCCTGTTGCAGCAGTCATCCCATTCGACAACAACAATAATAATAATATAATATATTATTATATTACATTGTGTCACATTCGCACACTCGTAATAATAATAACGACTATATAATGTGGAATACAGTTTTCGGGATTTACAAAAGCTTAAAGCAAAAACCATTCACATTAAATCGCGTATATGAGGTGGTATATAATATTATGCCTATATAATATTTTATTTGCTTAATTGTCTTCTGCCTTATACAGTTATACACTTATACATATCATATACATTTATACCATATACACGGTATCTAGTAGTATATAGGTATAGTATATTATGTACAGCATATATTATATAATATGATATTCTCAAATCTGATATGTTTAGGTTACAATCTATTATAATATTTTAATTGTACATAAATAAAGGTATCCACCAAATTTCCTTGAACAAATTACCAAAAAAAATTCTTTTCTACATAAGGGTTTTACCATTGTCAACTACTTACGTTTATTCGTCGATTTATTTAGTAAAAAGTAAAATATTATTATAATACGTACCAAGCACGCTTGCAAAGTTTGTCCACAAAAGTAAGAACAGTGACCATCTCGACCAACTACCGGAATGTAACACTACGCCGGCAGTTTTCATATTTTAAACGACTCCTGAAATAGAAATAAACACACTTTAAAATACTTAGGTACTATACATTTTAAAACAGTACACTATCAACTGCTTACATAATTATATACATTTCAAATATTATCGACAATATACATATAATATAATATACTTTCAAATATAATAATAAGGAATAGGTTTTATATAAGTTCAATAATTCCCGTTAATGTTCCAATAATTATAGTAAGCATACCCCTAACCCCTTCATCAATATAAATTATAATCGTTTCCAGTGTCAGACAACAATATCATTTTATAAGTGGGTACTGCCCACTGGGTAGGTATGCGTATATACCTACATATCTACACTCGAAGATTAAGAAATTACTATAATATTATGTTATGTATGTAAGTATGTTGTTTGTTCACATAATATTATAATGTACGTATTATATACCTATTATTTTGTTTGACTTTGTAATTTATTCAAAATGTCCGTACCCCGTAGATCAAAATTGTCATTGACGAAATGTCATCTATATAATATTACAATAAATAATAATATATAAAATTTCAAGTTATGGTTGTTTTTTTTTTAGAATTAAATCACGGGTTGAATAGACTACTGAAATATTGCTTGAATATTTGTCTGACGTGAAAAAAATCTCCGTATATGATTTGAATCACGAAATACCAACCATATTTTATACTAAAAACTATGTAATTTTTTTTTTAATAATTTTTTGTTTTCTCTATCCGTTCGTGTATGTATATAAACGGAATTCTCCGGAGCGACCGTACAAATCGAGTCGAATCGTTATGCCGAGTTCAAGGAACTATCTCGGAAAATCGGTAGCCGCGTATGTCATTTTCTGTCTGCAGTATAGGTATACATATATTCACGAACCACGTATGAACGACGTACCCATTGCTGGACACAATTTTTGTGATGAACAAAAAAATAACAGAATATAATAATATAGAAGCTTTGAAAAAATCGATTTCTCCGCTTAAGGAAATATTTTTAAAAATGCAAAACTCAGTGAAAAAAAAAAATATGATATATCTCTGCGTGTCCATTCACGTTTCTGACCAATCCAATGTTTATACCGCGTCTGATTCGTTTCCGATACCGAGTAATTATTTTTAGACATTCATCCGGTAAATTGAACTGAAATATTTTGCCTAAACATTCATCCTCGATTTCGTTAGTTCTGTACAAAGTCACGTGTTGTATAGTCTTCAATTTCTTATTGTTCCTTCCAAAATTCAAAAAGAGGATTTCTTATTTAAATAAAACATTAATAATTTTTTAGCAAAAAAGCGAATTTATTTCACCTATATTGAATTATGGAAAAACAAGATTTAACACTGAAATATTCGATAGTGATTTTTATTTCAGTGTTAACATTTTATTACTAATGTTATATAAACATGGAAAGGCAAGAATTTCCAAACCGTATATTTATTAGTAAAACCATTATGTTTGATATAGGTATTTTATTATTATTTTCGATCGTAAAAAATGTATAGTATAATGAGATTGATTTGTTCATTGTATACTCTGCCAAAAGTAGCTGATCCCGAAAATTACATTCACCTCCGGTGTTATTATCGTAGCGGATGCTGTGTAAACGTAATACGTATACGGCATACAGTATTAGCTATTACCTAATAAAAATATGTTTAAATTACAGTAATCTCTATAGAAAGATTAAAGAAATATTTTGTAGAAGAATGCATTAAAAAATAACGGAATGTGACATAACATCAACGATTTTAATACGTGATAAATTGATACCAATTATTTTTGAAAATATATATTATATAGGTACCTATATACCTTGCTACGTTTTCATAACACCAAGCATAACTCTTAATTGGTTAAATTGACCAAAATAATAATATAATGATCCAATACATATTATAAATAATGATATCATGTTATAGTTGACATGTAGGTATACTTATTGAACTGAATTATTTAAATCCACCATTTAAGTATGGAACATCGATATTTGTCTGGATTCATTGTGCTATGCTGCTATGATACGATGTATAAAAAGTGAAAACTTGTGTATTATATTTAAGACTCGAGTTATAGTCGTTTACGCTGTCTTGTCTATGTAAAATCGTTGTTCTTTAATCGCGAGCGTGCTACAATATTTTCCATGGGTTTAAAGTTCTTTTAAATAAACGAACAAATTAAATTATACGGCAATTTTTTTAAAGGTGTAACCGTGCATGGAACACATTAATGTTTGAATTGCTTTAATAATAATTGACGTATGACATGCGGGTATTTATATTGGCAGACGGGGCGTTAAACTCTCTTTGAACTGGGTCAGTGCACTGGCTATATTATATAGTTTATTCATTATTGTAGCAATACACTCTAGCGGGTAACGAAATAATAAAGCCCAATCGCTTAATCGTACAACTTACACGAGTTATACTAGTTATAGTAATATAAATGTCAAATAAAGACGAAAACTCGACGTAATAAATTTGTTTGATTTGTTCCGACGACAGTTACTGTATAGGCTCCTCCTAGGCTAGGAGGTACCTACCTAAATATAATAATAATATAATCACGATGATGGTCAACTCACGGTGATTTCTATAAAGACGTTGACACCACGGAAAATAAATGACTTAAGACAATCTGGTATTCTGGTTTACGATCTGGCGCACGGGTACCTAGTTAGAGTCGTGCGATCGTCTTGGATTTTTATTACAATATAATATCAAATGGACCAAATAAAAATGATAGTGTTGGCTGTTGCCATTTCCACAATAGGAAATTTCGTCGTTTTCCGAATTCGACCTGAATAATATTCGGCCCGCAGTCAAGGCGTTAAAGATTCTTTATATAGTAAAACCCCCACACCATAGGTTTTCGTCCTTTCGACACGGCTATTTTTCCCTGTTTAATTATATTAGCAACTGCGCCCGGCGGAAGTGTATTGCAGTGGAAAGGCGGGTAGTGGCAGGCCGCACACCGTATATAATGATATCTGGATTGTTCGGACGACGCGTACCAAAGCTATTGTTTTACCATATACCGACGTGACGGTATACCGTTAATCTCGAGGATCTGCTGCGGAGAGTTGTTAAGCCGTCCACAAAAATATAATAATGATAATAATAATAATAAGTAATAACGATATAATATAATAAAGGCACGGGCATGTGGTGGTGTCCGGCTCAATTTTATTCTTTTCGGCTGTAGCAATCAGAATTTACACGATCTCCGTTCCGCGCGTATATACGCAATAATAGAACGATACATAATAATTGTTCATCTGTCACACTCGGGTTGCTGTAATAACGTATTTTATTATATGTACCTATATATATACACAGGTGGCGGTGAGGAGCAGCCATGGTGAGCTCTGCCTTCAAATATAAAAATCAAATACAATGGCGCGATGAAGAGTTTTATTGGACTGAATGACGATTTCACCTGGAAGTTGTAGTTTTGACGATGACTAGACGCGTCGAGAATTAAAAATTCAACGAAAATTGTCAATTAAAAAATCGAGTTCACGTAGACAATGCTCCGTGACATTATGCACAGACGTCCTGCACCCTGCGCAAAGCACCGAGCAATTATTTTCGTCTGGCGGACAGACGAGAGAAAAATGGGTCAGATTGGCGAGAGGAAGAGAACTGGAAATAAGTTCGCTGTTGATTTAATTAGGTTTTCTCGATTGCCGGTAATTGCAACACGGGCAGAACCGAGGAGACCCGGGCACGTAGTTCAATACCGTTGGCGCGTTTTTTCTAATTTGACGAGGTCATCTCTATATGTAGGATATGCGATTTTCCATGATTTAGTCAAGCACTCAAACGTTCTCAAAACATGATGGAATTTTTTTTGATAATATTTGTAACTTAAGGTATATAGATTTTTATAGATATATTATAATATGTACTACACATATTGTGTGTTATTTGTTTAACATTACGATTTACGATTAAAAATAGATATTATTATATACGACATATATTACACATGTAGATGATGCCGTGATGGTAAATGCGGCTACAATATGACACAATACACATAGGTAATACATATTATACAATTTAGAAATTATGTTGTTGGGTAATATAATAAAATAACTGTTGTATCCATGACTTTAATGTTATATAGCACGATGTAGAGAAAATATATTCTATCTTCTCTACATCGTGTTATATAGGCGTACCTATACTCCATGTACCTACAAAATGTATGAATATTTTGATTCATTATTTGTCTATTATGGATTTTGGTATGCGGTCGTGTATGGTTGTTAAAATTATTATAATTTGTGATCTATTACGGAGCTGCAGTTGTTTTTTTTTTTTTTTTAAATATTATTTTCAATTTTACGTAAGTACTGAGATTTTATAAGTAAATTACTGAATGCATCAACGCATCCTTTGTTTGTATTCAATACGTACAAATATATACACTTATATATTTTCGACATTTAATGAGTTCCTTGATATAATGATACTGATTTAAACATTTTTTTTATTATTACCTACCTGATTTCCCACAGTGGCTGAATTATTATTAAGGAAGAACCCATGTTGCAGTTCTCAGACCATGTTCAGCCAATACAATACAAATTAAATTCGAATCTCTCACCGTCATGTATCATTCTTACAAAATGCAATCTTCACACGAACAAGGTGTTCATAACTTCATAAGGTCCGCCACGCCGAAATCGTTGATACTTGATAGCATATAGACAGTAGAGTGTAGACACCGCGCGCCTTGAGGTTTGAAGGTATATTATTGTATCCAAAATATGTACTTATCCCGTAAATATATTTATGAGTTGCTATCGTGATCAAATCAACCATCCCACCTTTGCTTCTCTTATTTATTTTCTTACCGTTATAGCCATAAACCAATGTGTGTTTGATATTTTAATAGCCGATGGCCAGTCGTGCTCGCTTGAAGCACTCTTTTCAACTATTATAATATACCCATCATAAGATATTTAATAATACGTCCATAAACATAAAATATA